CCACCAGGGTCAAACGCCTCGATGCAAGTAGTCGGCGCTTCGCATCTTCTTCGACTCTGGTTGCTTCCCGTTCGCTGACCGTGAGCGTGACATTGTCATGAGCCATGGAGATTGGAGCGCGCATAGAATCTGTGATTTCGGTATTGTACGAAGATCTGCTCGCAAGGCAGACGGTTAGCAAAGCTCATCTCCCGCTAATAGGCTTATACATACTCAGTCATGTCCTTCCCACACTCGGCGCAAAGTCCTCCAAACTGTATTTCGTGCGCGCAAGGCTCATCAATTTCGACAATATTGACCCTAGTCACAGATTAGATAACATCCGACGTGAAACAACAAGAATCGATGTTCTTACGGTTCATCAATAACATCATCCTTTTTGATTTTCCATTTAACGATCTCTCCATCAACAGTCGATTCAAATCTAGTCGGGTACCTACGCTTCACCTCGACGATGTTCCCCAGTCCATCACCCTCGGTGACAGTTGTCTCATAGGCATACCAAAACAAAGCTTCATCTTTCTCAACCGTGTCGCCTGGATTTTTAAGTAACGAAGTCACAGTAATTGGGTAATGTAGACTGGGGGGTAAACGGAGAAGCATTGTTGCTCTTCCTTCGCTCCCAGGCGATGAAATGCACTAATGCTCAGTTCCTGTCCTAGCGTTCTCCCAAAATATATTCTGTGTCCTTGGTTTGTTGACGGCGCGCGTCAAGGACGTGTGGGCGGACGTGTGGGTCGAATGGGGTGATCGCGTGCGATTCCGGCTACGACGCCATCACCGACACGCAACGCGTGTAGAACTGAATGATATCGGGTTTTGGTGGTGGTTTTTTCTGCCTATGACTAGTGGCCCAGGCTAGGTCGGTAGAATCAGTAGGTGTGAGTGGTGGTTTAGGCAGCGCAATGAGAAATCGCCACTACAAGGCGCAAATGGGAAAAGAAATCCGTGCGCCTAGCACGACCTGGCGCGGAGATAAGATGCAAGTCTCACACCAGGCGGGGAAGTTTGCTTGAGTTTGAGAGGAAGGAGAAGGTTGAAAGGGGATTGCGGGCTGTGATCAAAGAAAAGGGAAGCTCATTGAAGTTGTGCGGGGACTCACTCGATCTGGGTTGAGAGCTACTTCCGCTTATGTCATACCGGTACTTACCTAGGTAACTAGGTAGAAACCGGTATCTTTTCTCTCTGATTGACGTTAGATCTATTTCAGTCCAAGTCAGAATTTATACACGGAAAAGTCGCTTGCACAGAGTATGCTTTCCTGTCTTTTTCTGCAATCTACCTATAGGACTGGAAAGGAAATATTGAAGATATCTAAAAAGGATATCTAAGACCGTTGAAATGAAAAAGACCCGTAAGACATCATACGGCCGTTATGCGGCCGTCTACTCTTGTATCTTATTTTTATGAATGGCCTGATATAATGGCTTGATCCAAGACTCTTTCAGTACTATCTTATTTCGCTTAGTGACATTTCACGGGATTGGAATGTATTAGAAACTTGACTGTAGATTGATGCTGGGGTACACGGTGTACATGCACCTTAAATAGCATAAGCTCAGCCAATTGCCACTCAAGTCCTTACATCGGGGAATCTGCCGAGGGATGCAGTTCAATATACGGAGCAGTATGGTCACGACTTAGACAGAACGGTAGGTTGATTCAATAAAGGGTCAAATGTAATAACTAGATCTTAACCATAAAAATATCAATTCGTAGTACCAATGAATGACAAGCCTCACGATGGGGCTGTGCCAGCAAAAAAAAAACAAAAACCCTAATCAACATGCCACTGGCAATGGACGAATGAAGTGTGCTATGAAACCATACGTAAAACCCAGAAGCCACATGTATATACGAAGCAATCTCTTGGCGTCACCTGGTTCTTCGATATTCACAGCTCACCGGGCCATCGAGCATTAGGGGATTTATTTAGCCTTGGCCAGACCGACGGCGTTGTTACCGACATCATAGACACTGTACCAGCGGCGCAGGAAGGCATCACCCAAAATAGCCAGGGGACCCACGGGCTCGGGGAAGTCCATGCCCATGAAGCTGCTGATGCATGAGCCCTGGACCTCCAGGATGTAGTCGTGGGGACCAATGGTGAACTTGTGGCCACCCAGGGTGAAGGTGAGGTCGGGCAACGAGTCACGCTTGTCGCAATCGACACTGTACTGACCAGTGAAGCCCTTAGTAGCACCGATCTCCTTGTTCCTATGGAATGGGTCAGCAAAGAACTTATCAAAAGAAACGAGAAGAGATCAACCTACAGAAGTTCAGCCATGGTGGAGGGCAGGGCAATGAGAGAGGTACCAGTGTCCAGAATGACACCGGTGTCCTCAAGTTCAGCAACGTTGTTACCAAGGGCAATGGAGTTGAGCTCGACCTCCCAGTACGCCTTACGACGGAGAGGAATCTTGATCAACTCGCCAGTGTAGTGGTTCTTGTCGATACCACCGAAAGTAGCCTCGGAGTTGTCGCCCTCCTTGTTGGCATCGCCAAGGTAGAAAGCAAACACAGGCTCATCGACGAGCTTCTGGTTGATCATGTGATAGAAGGGAGGGACCATTCCGTTCACGGAGATGGTATCATAGCCGAGGCCGAGAATACCATCAAAGCGACCGAAGGCAAAGGCCAGACCAGGCTCATTGGTAGCTTCCGCAAAGTCCTGCCCCTTGATCTTCAAGTCACCAATCTGGAGTGTGTCCTTAGACACGAAGCCGCTCAGGCTACCAGATCCATAGCGAATCTCGAACTCGGTGCCATTCTTCTCATAGGTGCTCGAAGAAGACGAGTCATACTTTGTGTGAAGGAAGCAGGCGATAGAGCTACACTGTGAAGAAGGGACCCACAAGTTGGAGCTACCAGTGTCAAGGACAACCTTGAAGGTCTGGGGAGGAGTACCGATTGAGATCTCGGAGAAGTCTGGAAAGGTCAGCATAATCTCTCAGAACCCGGGTCTTCTGGGTTGTTATCGTACACTGGGCATTCAGGAAGTTGTCAACGAGAACGTCATGACCACTAGCGGGATTCAAGGCAGTGTCGTGGAACAGGTCCTGGTGCTTCTCGGGGCGAATTCCCATGTACTTCTGGCCCAGGTTGTGCACATGAGCATCGATGTTGTGTGTGTTCTATTAATCGATTAGATTCTGGGGTATTCTCAGGCCAATATCGATGGTCATACCAATTGCTCGGACAGAGGGACCTTGTTGAGCTTAAGCTTGTGAACCTCAGCAGCAGCACTGCCCAACAGCGCCGAAGCTGTCAGGAGAGTGAATGACTTCATCATTTAAGATGAAAAAAGAAAGATGTAGATGTTTTGGTGCAAATAAGGGAATGACTTGGATGTAAGAGAGGAGAGAGGAGATAAGGGCAGATGGGGAGGAGTGGAGGCTGGAGAGACGATGACGGAACCGGGAGGGTCACACTAACCCCCTTTGGGCGATAGGCCTCATGACATGGGTCAGGCACCAGCCCTCGGGATTCCACAACATACAAGGAAGATATCTTGTTTCTCCATTTCCTTACTCGTTGGGTTACTACTCCGTGTATCTCCTCCATATTATATTCTATACGAGATCGGATCTGAACAGGGGAAGCGCTTTGGCCCTGGTGCCTGAGCATAGTTCGCGCCATTGACGGAATGGTCGGACTGGTCGGAAAACACCCTCCCGTGTACCTGGCAGCTCCATAATTCTTCATGTGGCAAGAGACTACCCATGGACGCTCATTATGTTATTGGTCTACAGGAAGGTTTCATGTCCTGCTGTAATACGCCATGGAGGTTTAGAGGTGTACGGAGTAAGTCGGGGTGACGGGCGAAAAGACCACGATTGAGCGTGGTCTTTTCACCCAGCGCTCGCGTTGGAGCATTAAATACAACACTAGCCAAGTTAGGTTTAGCGCCCTTGCAGGAGTAAGTATTCATCATAGATCGACGCCCTCGGCGCGTACATCATGGATAAAATATATCAAGGCAGTCTAAGTCCTCGTTCAGATATCATCCCTGGATAATTCTATATCTGCTCTGGTTCGATTTAGATATCCGTTCGGGCGGGTCGTTTCCGCCCTTCCGTATATTCATTTTTATGTAAGAGACAGGAAAGTTCATTTTTGTCACATTATAGTCTATTCTAGCCCCAAAATATACACATAGGATATGGTGCTTTAGCAGAGTGTCAATGCTGTTAAAAGTAGACCTATTCAATATCTACAGCCCAAAAATGTATGCATGACGGGCTGGCTTATCATATAGGCGACTATGAAAGATTTCACGGCTTACGAAACTGTGGTTTGAAAATTGTGGTTGACCACGGGTTTATGTTCCTTGCATAACTGTTATTTGAAGTTGACTATGCCGTTTGCAATCCTTTAATACATCGGGAATATCAAAAACCCTCCTTATGAACTTCGGCTCAATAGTCTCTACCAAGACCAGATCTAGGAACGCCTATAAAAAGGCTAAGGTAGAGGCTAAAGCAGTTAAAGTTTCCGAAGGTAAGTCTTCTTCATAATAATCGTTGATGCTAGCTCTAACCATATAATAGGTCGCTCATAGAGACTTAATAAACCAAACATATCTCAATATCATCTAGAAGCATACCATAAAGCGACTCCATATCTATATACCCTATATTTCACCTTAGTCGACAATCCATTTGTTAGCTTTTGAAACCCGATCTTAGAAAGCCAAGAGTGACAACTCTTGCCTGAGGCTGGACTGTGTTCGTCATTGCTACTTTCTTAGTGCCTGGTGCATTATTCTTTAGTATCTCCGTCTTTATAAACAGGTTTTATGCGCAATGAGATACCATTAACTATACCTTTTTATGGGCTATTCGGGTGTTTACTTTATATCTAAAGTTATTTGAAGGTCTAATACACTGGTGTTGAAAATTTTTGTAGACGCTGGAGACACGTAAAAGGCTATTGAAAGCAGGGAGTACGTACTCTATTGTTGACAGCTATGCGACTATGGACTCACGTTCCTCCAGCAATTAAACATTGATAATCTCATTCTCCTCTGCAATGTCGATCGGAGTCTTCCCTTCCCCATCTTTCGCCATAGGATCAAGTCCCTTAGACCGGAGGAGTTGAAACCAAGGCCACGCAGACCAAGATATCCCCTCAGACGACGTAAGCCCGGCAACCAAATGCAGCAAATTCTGCCCCTTCGCATTTGTCTCCTGGATATTGTACCCCGCCTTCTCAAATTGCCCAGCAACATCTTGCGCAATGGCAAAATACCGGTCATAAAAACCCTCATCACCAAATTCATCGTAGCTAACCGTGCAGAAGATCTCCAGAGCCGTCATGTCTGCCGCATTACGTGCTCTAGGGTCAACACCGTCCTTGAGAAAGCTCCGCAGAAAACGCCTTTGCCCATCACCCATTCGATCCCTTTCTCCCAGTCTACTCCCAGCCAGGTAGTGAAGCAATGTATTCCCACGCCCGTCTCTGACAGCAGTATCGGCATTTGCAGCGAGAAGGGAGTCTACCGCAGTTTCGAAATGGTAGATTGATGCCGGACTGTCTCGCGCTGGGATCATGATGGAGTTCATTCGCCAGATGGCCAGATGTAAAGGGTATGAGCCAGCCTTGTCAGGCTGATTAATAAGACTGGGGCAGGTTTTGATCAGGTGCATGAGTGTAGTATCGATAGGCGGTAGTAGACCTATCCAAGCGCAATCGATATAGGTAAACAGCAGGTGGAGGGCGTTTTTCCCGTAATTGTCAACGGCCAGTAGATCGGCTCCTTGTGAGATGAAAAACGAGAGAAATGTTGGCCCACTGCAAGCCTTAGAGTTCCTGGCTTCAAACTCCCTACATGGATTCTCTGCTTGGGGGTAAGGGTTTTCGTGGATTCCAGTGTCGTAGTTGATTGTGCTAAGACCTCCATAGACACCACTTGTCGCAGCATCTGGACCGACTCTGCTCCGACAGGCCCCAAGAAATAGCGTCCGACCCTGGGGATCTCGTCGTTTGACATGCAGCGTGTCACCCAGGAAGTCGAAGATAGGCTGGACGAACCTGCCGCCCTCGAGTAGGGTATGAATGACACTGCGCACGCCGTAATTGACAGGAAGATCCAGATACTTGATGACATCGTCGAGACTGCCTTCGAAATCGCCGATAAATTCGTCCCGACTGGGATCATATACTCCTTGCTCGAGATCGCATCGTTTACGTTCCAGTCGGAGGGCTTTTTCCATGATTCCCCTGCGGGCGAAGCTCATCCGATCAAGGTCCGTCGCCTCGTCATCTACCTCTTCGTCTCTTGTTTGCCCGGGGAAAAGGCGCACATATCGATATTTGAGGATCGGCTGCCGATAAAGCGCATATGGGTCTGCGCCATGCTGGAGCAGGGCATTCATAAGACGTGTGGCCTTGGGCTTATCGAGATAGCTGCATGAACCTTTGGACTCGCCTGTAGCTCGACGAAGGGCAGGTTGTTCTGTCTGGTCGAGATTGAACAGAGGAGGCCTGGAACTTTTGTCTTCACTGGCCCAGTCCTCGGCGACTCCTGTGAGAACCGATTCTAGGTTGTCGAATCGTGCATTTGGCTCGACGCCGGCTGCTAAGAGAGACTCGACGCGGTCGATGCGAGTTTCCCGACGGCTTCGTACAGCTCGAGAGCTGCGATATCTCACACTTCAAATAGCATTGCGATGAGGGCTACCAGTGCTATTGTTTATGGTAGGAGAATAGTCAATCAATACTGGGAGGGAACCCTTTTGCCGTGGAGCATTAAACCCGTTTCCCGTCGGAATGATTATACTGGATACTACACAGTGATCATGATGACTGTAATACCGCTAATGAGTATTGGCTCCCAGACCTCCATTTACCACCCTTTCACTTCGCGAGAAATTGTATTTAGGAGAGACCCGGAGATTGTCTGTTTACTAGGTAGTGTATCCATATCTGAAGTCCAAGCCGGCTACTTCATAGGCCCAAATCCCTCGGCATGGCGAAACAAGTGAAGATAAACTAACAGGGGCCGATCCTAGTTGTTAGTGAGGTCACAGTCACCTCAATTGCCTATTCTAGACTTGAAAAATCACGATCGCTGCTCGGCTAAGCTTTACGGCCCGCCAATCCTCGGGCTTGGCGTTGAAAGTTCTGACCGAGATGGATCGACGGGGACTACCCAGAAGAGGGCCCCTGCATGATCACCCTGAGACATGACCATACATATTGTGAGTACTGTCGAGCCGTGGGCATCGGAAATTTTCCGTCCTTCCTTTGAGAGCCTAGTTCTTATTGCCCTGCATACGGAGTACTTCGAGTCTATCCGCACCGTCTTATTCGACGGCCAGACTCCAGTGTTGAGCCGAAATTCTATGTCTCATACTCATTGATCCCTGTCTTTGTGTGATGCTGAAATGAAAGGCGCACGGGCGGATATAGTAACTAATCCGCACTTGATCACAGGAGGGTATACGCCAATGAGGTAGGAATAATTCGGTCATTGGTATTCTCAATGCAAACTTTGATGATGTGGATGTTAGTGGAGAGTGCAATTCTTCGATCAGGGAGCTCGCTCGGTGGAGCGTGGAAGCAGCGGAGGAAAGATATCCGAGAGAATGAGTAGGAAGTGTAAGGGAACCTACGGAGGATGTTGAAAGAAAGTGGACATCAGACTAGGCCCTTGAAGCTGTAGATTTATCTACTAGAAACATTGGAATATCCCAGATCCTGGAAGACTTGTGCTTTTAGTCTTTCGGTGTTCGCTTTACTTTCTCACGTTGCTTTTAACTACTCTTTTTTCCTCTTGTCATTGACATATATCAACACTCTTGTTTACAACTTCTCTTGAAATTTGCAAGATGTGGTTACCAGGGGCACTTTTGCCCTTATCCTAGCGGCTACTTCATTTGCACCTCTGGTGAATGCATTACAATCTGCTCTGAATCCTTGCCCGGTTGTCTGCGATGCTTCGTCACAGAATTGGACCGCCTACTCATCTGTAGGCCGCCTCCCAGATTGCGATTTATATAGATCTTAATATAAGTTCCTAATATCATTATAGCGAGATATTTAGTTAGCTAGTTTCTATAATTATATATCTATCGCCTATTATACTGAGTTCCTTAGTATTCCTTGCGCTATTATAGTTTCTTTATCTACACTAATAGCCTTAGTTCGATACCTAGATCTAACTTACTAGACCTATAAATTGTATATAGTTTATTATATAGTATATGGATTTGGCATCAAGAAAATCTAAGCTGATGCTAGCCTCTCAAGGGCTCCTTGGCCTTTCTCATCTAGATTAGGATATTGTTTTAGACTAATCAGGTCCTTCCAAAGGGCCCTTGCATCATCATATGCGTCACCATGTACACCCAGACGCTCTCGAAGCACCTTCTTCCATTCCGCATCCATTTTCGTGAATGCAAAAGACGCCGAGATATACTCGTACCAGACAGGAAGATAAGCAGCATACTCCCAGTCAAGTATACCAACAACTTGTCCGTTCCGAACCATGACATTGCCTAAGTTAAGGTCGCAATGGGTGAGCACAAACGGCTCACTTTTTGGAAAGCGTTTTTTCAAGTTCTCGAAGACATCTTTAGGGACATTGCTATAAGCCATAGCAAGGGCATCCCAAAGCTCCAGGTCAGAGTGAAAAGGTCCATATGGTTTCATATCCAGAAATAGTAAGCCCGGATAACAAGGGCCTTGGTCGACACTTTGCATAGCAGTTGAGGTGAAATTGAACCGAAGTTGTTTGCGAACTTGGACAACCTGATCGGCAATAGAAATTCTTTGGGGTTCTGATAAAGTCGGCCACGCTTGCTCGAGTGTTTGGCCTTGTATACGTTCGGTCAAGGTAAAGTATCGCCCATTACGATCGACCCAGTCACGTATGTGTTTTGGGGCGGGGATTTCAATGTTGGTACCGGCAGTAGATTTTGCAAGAAAGTCTAGTGTCTTGGCTTCAATTTTTGCCTTTGGGCCCTCGTCCGGGCGATCTTTCAGAATGACATCAGAACCGATTGACCAGACGCCGCGCTGGGATGCGCCGTAGAAGAGTTTCACATGGCTGGAATAGTGACACCGATTTTGCTTGGAAGCTGTCCAGCCACATGCGATACAACCACTGTCGGCATCCGATTGCTCAGCCATCGCCACATGGGTTAGAATATTGGAATTTTGAATGAAAAGTAGAATTGAGAAGGAAAATTAAAGGAGATTGAGCATAGGAAAGTTGATCAGGAAAGGAGAGGACGTATGTATTATGAAACGGAGGCTTCACCGCTGTTACGTCTTTTGGACCAATTGGAGGGTCTTTTGCTGCCGAACATTGACAGGCACCCCGTTGAGGATGGGTTTAGGGAATACTGAGCATAGGTACCTATATGTGATTTGGTTACGCTACCCACTGCTAACTTCTATACCTAGTAGTGGGTAGTGTAACCTATTTATTATATAATAATTATTATTCGAAAAATCGTTCTATTTACCTACACCTAGAACCCTTAGACCTTCTGTTCTTCTAGTACTATCATGTAAGCATAATAGTAATTGTAAGATATATCTATATATATTATGGTGTGTGAGGATAAGATATATATTTTACCGGTAGTATCTAAGTGGACCTTAGGTATATTATTTACGGTAAACTATATTATAACTCACAACATATCGCCATAAATCTAGGATATCATAACGAAGTCATTATATTATTAATGATTTTCTATGATATTCCATACTGCTAGAGCTTGTCTATATAAGGAATGGAGGATTCCTAGCTAGAAAATAATAAGTATGAATACAATTCTTACCTCTCACCTATTATTATCTACTTAAGCTAAGTATAAACCTCCCTATATCTTATATAATATTATATCCTATACGTGATCTATAAGAGCTTGAATATCGAAGATATTACCATAGCTCTAATCTATAAGTAAAGGCTACTAGTATACTATAAAGGATAAAGGCCATCTCATTCCTAATACATTCTCAGTCATTTATCTGAGCACGTCATCATATCTCTGGGGTTAAAGCGGGGGTGATTCGTAATCGATTCGGTATATAGAATATATACAAAGTAGGGTATTGGAGTATAAGAACTTAGGGATCCTTAGGATCCTGTTCTCCCCTACAAGAGTTAGTCTTATCACTTTAGACAAATACACTTTGGTTCCCTCTCCCAATAAGAAGTTTTGTATCTTACCCAGTTGATAGGCCTTACACCTGACAACAGTATACTCTTACATATACCGCTTCAGGGGCTATTAGGGATAGCTTCGGGGGGTTGCTTGGCCCTATAATTGGTGATAGTGGCCTTACTGGATGCGAACCGGGCTCATAGCTGTCAAATACGATGGTATCCTGAAATGTATAAGTCTAATCAATGGTGTCAAAATCTCTGTTTTTCAGTATCCGTTTTCCTAGCAATTTATAGTTATGGATTGCGGATTACCAATTCAAAATCTCTAGTTAGGTACACAACCTAGATTAATTAAATCCCCAGTATGCCGGTCTGTATGCTCCGACATATATAACCAGCAACGGTGACGCGGACTCATCTTATGTATGCATAGTTGCTGAATCTCCTTTGTCAAATTTCCTTGACCCACATCACTACGATCTGGGATTATGTATTGGAAGTGGACTGACCAGTAGTGCTTGAATTATGCGAGTGCACTAATCCTCTAACTTTGAGATCGGTTCTGGGTAGCCTTATTCCATATGTTCAATATGTAAGGGATTTGTTTCGTTGATCCAATTAATACAGTAGCATGTTTTATAATCTACTCCATGCTTTTGATACATTTCACTGCATGATGATATATATCGTGAGGTGCGTGCCTTGTCATCCGTCCCGAGGACCGACACTGGATCATAGATGATGGAAACTACATGAGTGTTTCCACAGAAAGGATGACAGGGAAACACATATGCACATGAATTTAAAAGAGTATTCGACACATGTTCAAGCAGGTGGTCTACGGGCTGGGTTCTGCCAGCCAACCTACAATCTACACCTACAATCGAGAATATCTGATCAAATCATTCAAACATTGTGACACATGGCGCCTGCATATTATTGATCATACAACTAGTGAGGGAGACCAAGCTTTTGTCACTCAAACCCACTTTCCCAAGAGACCCAAGCATTTACCGGTAGAAGTCAGGACTGCAAGAAACCAGTTAGTGATATGGAAACCCCCCAAAAAGCATATAAGAAACATACCGGTCATCATCTTGTCCAGTCTTGACCTGGACGGCATAAGCATCTTCAAGATCCGACTGGATAATATTGTAACGGTTCTTGCGGACGGCCCGCAGACCGGCCTCCTGCATGATAGCAGCAATGACAGCACCAGACAGCGGGTCATTGCGCACGATCAGGGCGTCGAGGTCGACTTCGGGTGACAATGACATCCGTGCTGCAATTGTTGTGAAAATCAACCGGCGCTCACGTCGGTCACGAAGGTTCGGGAACTCGATCTTTCGGTCCAGACGACCAGGACGCAGCAAGGCCGGGTCCAGGGTGTCGGCTCGGTTGGTGGCCATGATGACCTTGACATTGCTAGTTTGTTCGAAACCGTCCATCTGGTTCAGCAACTCCAGCAGGATACGCTGCACTTCACGATCAGCACCAGTCTGGGCATCGAAACGCTTCGTGGCGATGGCATCAATCTCGTCAATGAAGATAATGGCTGGCGAGTTTTCACGAGCCATGCGGAATACATCGCGGACCATACGAGGTCCCTCTCCGAGATACTTCTGTACGAACTCTGATCCGTTGACACGAATGAAGCTGGCGGTTGTGCTGTTGGCCACGGCTTTCACCAGCATGGTCTTTCCGGTTCCTGGGGGGCCATAAAGCAAGACACCACGGGGAGGGTCAATACCTGCAAATTGTTAGCGATGCAATTAGCCGCAACGGAGCTCCATTACCACGCACCGATTTGCTTGTAAAGTTCGAAATGTGTCAAAGGCAGTTCGACGGCCTCCCGAATCTCCTGTTTCTGCATATCCAAGCCACCCACATCTGCGTATGTCACATCGGGCTTCTCGTTCTCACCCAGCATCGCAATAGAGGAGTCAGCCTCGGGAGGAAGAATATCGACAAGGGCATTGGAGTGGCGGTGAAGGGCGACCGAGGATGAAGGCTTCAGCTTCTCACGGTCGAGGGTGGAGAGAATACGGACGACGTAATTAGAACCGGTCGAGCTCTGCACAATGCCGGTGCTAGAGATATTAGTTAGCAGAGGATCATCTCGCGTAGGGCTCTGACACGTAAAGACATACTTTTGATCGATTGCCTCCATAAACTGTCCGATGACCAATGGCACACTCTGTATGCGCTTGATCTCTTCTTGTGCCCGAACCAGCTCCCGCTTCAAGCTCCTGTAATGAAAGATGGTGGTTAGGTATTGATGCAAATCTTCAATGACAGGATCCAGTATGCATACCTCTGCTCATCCTTGATGTATTCCTCCTGCAGTTGGATATACCTGTGTTCGACGTCAGTACAGATGAGTCTATTCCAAAAACATGGGTATGCATACTCTAGATGTCTTTGTAGCCTCTTGAGGGTAGCATATTCATCGTTTCCATCAGCCGCTGTGCCATCAAGGGAATCCAAGTTGGCGAGGGCGTCAAGCGCACCTGGCTTGGTAAGAGGCGTGACGTTGTTCACCGGGTTCTCCACGGCAACGTCTCCCATGGTGGATGCTTTGGACAGTGGGCAAGATGAGAAAAGATAGTATATCTATTAGCTGGAAATGGAAGGAAATGCGATGTGCTTTGGAGATGGTTGGTGAATGACGCGCTGTGTGAAGGGCTCGGGTTCGAGCCATCTGGAGCTTTCGATGCTATGGGCCCGGGAAGCTTATCCATCACGTGATGTCAACTAATCTTACCAACGGTGTAGTCGATTCACTTCCGAGCATTTAGGCCCATGAAAGATAAAGTTGTGTAATTTGCACTGTCGATTACAACATTACATTACGGTGTGCCCATTGCTCACCCCATTATTCCAAGGTTACTAGTAGAATATTGTGGCAATAGCCGATACGGTAATACTACCAAATTAAGCGCCCGTCAACTTGCCATACAATCGTCTCACCCAGAACTATGAGACAATTTCCACAGAACCTTGGGGGAGTCTTCATAGTTCTGATCATCATGTTCCCTGTATCTTTCCCATGCCAAAGACATACTAATTGCTGTTTCAAGTGAGTGCATCAATTCAAATATATGTTGTATGGTCAGACGCTAGCGGCTGCGAAATATGGAACCCTGGAGCCAATGACGAGGATGTCAGGCTCGTTTACTTGAGGTATTCGTTTCGTATAGTGATATGTAAGATGATGTACGAAGCATATTGCCAGATTGGATACCTAATCACGTTCAAGGAGAATGCCATATTGGACCGCCGTGCACAAAGGGTTCTGAGACAGTTAGCATCCTTGCCACTAGTGTTAGCCATCACCGTCTTGTCGTAGCCCTCAAAAGCCCTACAGAAGGGAAATGAAGAAAAGTTGATCCAATCATTCCTAGCGGTGGAGTAGGCCGGGACAACGGTAGGTGGGACAGGCACCCAAGCCGTCATGATTTCCCATGCGGATCGAGTCGGATCCTTGCACGGGACTCACTAGGAAACCCAGATCAATCCATTCTTGTCCTCGAATTTTTGACGACTTCGGAGGATTGGGCGCGCATCGACGTGATTATCAGACGCTAGCCCGAGCTTTATATAAGGAGAACCGCCCGCTGGTCACCGTCAGGGCTCTAGATCTTTTTTTTTCTCTTTCCATATTATTTTCTTTCCCCTTTCCCCCAGATTTCAGTCTGTAAAGACTCCATTTTTCATGACAATTTTCCCCTTTGAAATTTATCATTTCGTGGCTGCTAACATCAGACCTAAATCGGGTTGGAGTATATGATCTAACCTGACTCGGCCACCTGGATAGACGATTGGAATGGATCATCGTTTGGATGATTTACAAAATCCGAGAAGATGGGGATATCATAGGAATTTCTCTTAGACAGAGATTTCCTTCATATTCCCTCTGTTCCCTAACGTTTACCATGATTTTCTTCTGTGGTCGGTCTCCTCCATATGCAGGTTGAGGCTGACCACACCTCTGAATGGGATAACGAAACTAATGGGAAATCTAAACTAACACAAGGGGAAAATGGGAAAAAAAAAACCTTCAACCCCCAGAAACAGAGAAAGAAGAACGAGAAGACTTCAAAAAAGGAACCAAGAGACAAGAAAGAGAAGCAACTAACTCAGTAACACAAGTGGGAGATTTACACTGTGGAAAAAGCTCTGACCTTCATTTTCCCTCATTCTCTTCTCTCCACTTCCCCTTTCATCCCTAACTGACCGGATCTTGTGAACTGATAGGTACGCCATCTCTCTATATGATTGCTTTGCTTTTTTTTTTTCTCAACTTGGCCTACTATTATTTACCTGTATTGATATTATTTGGTTGTGGCCACGCACCCCCTTCCTTTTTTATGTCTTCTGTAATCCTTATGTCCCTGGTTTCTGGAGGAACTTCTATTATTATCTTGGCTCTTTGAAGATCAAAGAGTGACTTTCCCTGTTCATGATTTGCTAACTCTCTTTAGCTCCCTCCAGCCTCTTACCTCCCCCCCCTTTCCCCCCATATCTCCTAACGCCTTTGCCTCCGTCCTCCTCCGTGGTTTGTTGCCTGAGGCTATCACACCACGTGACCTCACCAGGCCAACCTCTGTCCCCCTTCATATCCCCCCATCTGCCAATTCCGGGACCCGGCTTCAGTCATCCGTTTAAAAAAAGCGGAATTTAAGTCACTCCAGCCTTATCGGTATGTATCTCATTCCCTCCCCTCATTAACCCTCCCCCAAAAATATATCTCCAATATTCCCTACGCCTTTCCTCCCCACCTTCTCTTTGAAATGTCGCGACCGGGTCTGCGCGCGACTCCAAACATCTCACCCTCGACGCGTCAACGTCCATTGGACTAAACCCTATACTTTCTTGATACCTATATGACATCTTGATGAGTTTCAGCGATGCAGCCAATGTTCACATGCTGACTCGTCATAGGTAGATGGGTTGGCAAAACCGCTCGACATGAATGCCTGGCTTGCCGACGCCTCGAATATTCCTGGCCAGGATAATGGCGCCTTTCATCCATCCACTATAGACCCCTCTACTGCTTTCCTTCATGGCTCCCCGAACTCCCAGGATCCATCCCAATTCCAGCGCATGTTCAATAATGGCGTGCCGCGGAACGCTTCCCCAGGATTCCACAATCCAAACCAAGTGATTCCATCCAAACGAGCTCGGCCAGAAGACGGCATGCCCATGTCGCCAAGGCCAGCGCCGGGGGCGTGACGGGTTCGCGATCTCAGACCCCTCATCAACCATTTCCAGGTTATCAAGGACCGGCCAATGGTAATCCACAATTTCCCCAACACCCAACGCCATATCAGCATCTTCAGCAAGGAGCGTCCCCGAACGTAACGCAGTCGCCCATCATGCAGGATTTCGATCAACAAAGCGCTCGTATGGGAACGGCTTCTCCAAGCCCCTTCTCGCCTGCTGGTCCGCACCCTGGAACTCAAATGTCCCCTTCGCAGTCGGACCACGGCAGTCGCGTGAATACGCCCCAGAACGCCAACTTCATGCAGACACAACAGTTTGGTGGAATGACATCAGGAGCACCCCAACCATCGATGCAGGCGCCGCAGTTCAATGGCATGCAACAAGTACCCCAGGGCTACCATCAAGCTTTAGCGAATCAACAACAGCGGCTGCATGCAATGCAGCAGACACGGATGAATACCAACCCTGCAATGTCTGGACGTCAGGTTCAAGGAGGCATGAACCCGATGGCCAATCCTCAGCAGCCCATGGGAGCAATGAGACAAGTGCCACCAAACATGCCGTCAAACATGCCGAAACCCAGTAACCCGGAAGGATTCTTGCGCTCATTGCAGAAGTTTATGATGAGTCAGAATCTTCCCATGGACCCGAATCCTATTGTCAGTGGTCGTCCGATCAACCTCGTTCAGCTCTACGCTACGGTGATGAAGATGGGAGGATCGAAAAAGGTCACAGCAACAAACATGTGGCCAGCAGTTGCACATCAGCTGCAATTTCCCCAGATGCAATACCCAATGGCCGCCCAGGAGATTCAAGCTCACCACTCAAGGAACTTGGGCCCTTACGAACAGGCTTTCATCAGCTCACAACAAAAACAACTCGCGGACCAGATGCAGCAGCAACAGCAACAGCAAGGCGGGATACCCCGGCAGCCTAGTCAATTCAACTCCCCTTCGGTGAAGCCAAATCCAGGCTTTGAGCAAGCCCCAACAATCGCACAGTCCCCCCAGAATAACACACCAGTTCATAATAATACCCCAGGGAACCCAGTGAATGGGTTTGCCACGCCGACACACGCGCGAAGTCAAAGCAGACCAGCTCAGGGAGGACATAGGCAAAGCATCTCGAGGGCGTCGCAACCACCGGTCCAACCCACTGAAGTCGCGGCCGCACAGTTCGCAGCTCCTTCGCCGCAACCTGGAAAGGGCGTTACGCCTATTCCGGGCCAGCAGCAGCAAGGGCAACCGGACCCAAAGCCAGAACAGCTAGTAAAACGACCTATTGAGGAAACCTTCAAACCGATGGTGCTGACAGGAAGTCGGTTCCACGGACCTATTGTTGTTGATGAGATGTACCAGATTGGCGAGGATATCTCGAGGCTAAAGCCAGACGTGCCGGGCTTTGCAGAATTAGGAGTTGTTGATATTCACGCTCTAACAATGGCGCTCAAGTCTGGTATCTACGCCGAGATCCGGGTTGCCTTGGATACCCTCACCACACTCTCTGGTGAACCATCTGTTCAAATATCGTTGGAGAATTGTGATGATTTGGTAGAGAGTCTGGTCGACTGTGCTGAAGATCAGGTCGACCTTCTAGCACAGCACACCTTGGAGGAGTCGGATACTATGCTTCTTCGTTCCTATGATGAAGTCACCCGAGACTGCCAGACCGAAAACACATCACTTGCAGAGGTTCCTCAATTTGGAAGTATTGAGTACGAATTAGACCGGGCCATCGATCGACTCATTTGTATCACCACCATTCTGCGCAATTTCTCGTTCAGCGAGACCAATTTCTTACCTCTTGGTATCCCTCCTGTCGCCCAGCTGTTTTCCACCGTCTTCCGTTGCATGGGAACTCGCAAGATGTTCTTGCGGACGAGTCACAACACGCTAGACTTCATGAAGGATGCAGTGATCTTGCTGAGTAACTTGGCGCATGTTGTTCAAATTCCCGGCAAAGATGAGGCACTTAATCTGTTGATTTTCCTGTTGGCGTTCTCTCCTGAACCAGAACCCACATCACCCTCTGGAAAAGTGATGTTCACTACATTCAACTCTTCAGTTGATCGATACACCCCTGCTGCTGTTGACGGGCTTGCGAAAATGCTGGCTAGAGATGACCCGAACCGAACTTACTTCAAAGCCATCTTCTCTGGCGATGGGTCTGCACCTCCCCAGCCGGAGTTGTTAACCCGCGCGTTTGGCCTTGCCATCTCCTGTGTCCCCGACAAAAAGCCGATGGCCGTCGTAGATGCACGCAAAGTGTTCTTGATGCAAGGTCTTTTGTCGGCCGATGTCCTCACTACATTCGCCGATGGCTCACTTGCCAAAGCATGGCTTGAGTCAGTGGACGGATTTGCTGTCCATCTCCTGCGGCTTTCTTGCGCACTGTGTACAGAACGCATCCCACAAATCAACATGCGACAAAGAAGTCAGGCCGAAGCCGATGCGTATGCCTTCAGCTCGATTGTCAACCGAGGACTGGGTATTCTACGCCGACTCGCCGAAAAATCAAAGCAAGTCGACAACACCCCTCTCAACATCCCATCCGGAATTCTTCCTAGAAAAGAAAGCCTGCTAGGTGCATTGCTCCTCCCCAACATTGACGGTGGCGTTGTTCGCCAGCTCCTCACATATGCTCGGTTGGCGGAGTAAATGATGTCTGCATGAACCTCCAATGTGCTGGTGACAGGTTGGTTTTGTACCAGTTTCGCCTGGGAGGAATCGGATCATCTCCCACTTAGCATATACGACAATCTTGATTTTCTCTCATGTCATTTGTACTCATGTCGACTGTCAGTCTTTCTATTCTTAAATTTTGGGCGCTGGTGGGTGATGGGGCTTTTGTTTTTGTTCTCGTGAGATAGCGTTCTGTTCTGCTTCGGTGTACAATGCTTAAAATACCCTCGACGCAAATCGAGAGATACTTGCACCATGACCAATTGACCACTGCTTTTAAATTTGCAGAGACTGAATTACTGGCTTATTGCAGATTCGTAGTTTAACCCGGTCACATTGAAGTACCCAGCAGAAATGGAAAAGGGCACGCAAGCCCTCAATTCCGTCCACTCGCCGGAATTTCGAGACCTTAGAAAGGTCTACCTATGACCTACACCGGCATGGCGTCTAATTTCAGATATAAGCTTACATGCTGCGTACTGTTATAAGTTTCCCATATGGAAATGCATGTGGTCATTCAATGTAAAAGCACTAGCACCGATCGAGTCGTCCAAAATGTACATATTGAAAGTGTTACAGGTAGAGAGAAAAGCAGAGGAACAAAGACGAAGGCAAAAGCAGGTACACGCCAGAAGACACGACCGGATAAATAACACACGAACACCAAAGGAAAAGAAGAGAAGAAAAAAGGGAAGAAAACCAACCCGCAACGAGATTAAGGTATGCACCGAGGGAAGAGGAGAGAGAGATCAAGGAAATAGATATTACCCATCCACATCAGGGACCACCGTGAGCGTTCGTTTCTTTCTTTCTCTTCCCTTGCTATCGACGTGATTTGATTCTTGATCTCTCCGATAAGTATAATCTAGCATACCCCTCGCAGTAAGGGGGTATGAATGATGCTTTTTGAGGGTGAGTCTTGGGCCAATTGAAAGGTTGCGATGAGCTCTTCAATCGCAGTTTTTGTGAGATAAGATTGAGGTATTAAAGAAGAAAGCATTTAGAAGTTCCGTTCCTGGAGGAACTTCACAATCTCTGGTTTGCGCCAGCCCTGTATTGATACATCAGTTTCTGTCGCGGATCAATTGCACTCTAGAAGCGAAGATACCTTAACAATGATGTGGCCAGTGAGTCGGTTGAGAGTAACATCCGGGTTAGGCTTGTTTCCGTCGACAACACCCAGGGCAGCAGCTAGGTCGTTGCGGAGCGCGTCCAAATCGCCTTCGGTCTTCTGGAGCTTGGTGAGTTGCTTAGTGCCGCCGGCCTTTGTGACGACGTAGACAGGCAGCTGATTGGAGGCAGTGCGACGGACAAAATAGGGGAGGTTGGTGAGCTGCAGGGTCGGGCTGGAGTTCTTGTCTGATTTGGCTGAGGGTGGAATCGCGGATGAGGCGGTAGATTGTTGTTTCAGGGCTTGTGCTTGACGGCCGAGATGAGCAAGGAAGGTACGGCTTTGGCGGGTAGGGAGAGTAGGGAGAGTGAATTGAGGACGATCTGAGGTAAGTAGTTAGCCATACGCTCTTCTATCTGTCAACGCGGAACCAACACGGCATATATGCGTGGTTTTTTTCTTTCTCTCTTCTTTCTTGTCTGTTGGTTTCAAGATATTGCAAGACCTGAGGGCTCTGCTTTGCTCTTGTAGATCCTAGGAGATCAAAGAATCAAGATGAAAGCGAACAATAAGTAACTTACGTGAAGCTTTCAACCTCGCCTGAGGACATAATGTGGAAAATGAACTACATGTCTGAACGGAAGCCACGGACTGTGCAGGATTGACGCGAAGAGTGGTCGTCGCCTGCTTTCGCATGGCCGAGGACGGACCCGAGTGTAGAATAGATGCCATTTCTCGGGTTCTGAAGGACCAAAAAATAGACCTGGTTGGAGAAGATGGGGATATCAAGGTAAAGGGCTGGGAAGATCGGAGAGCGACATCTGATGCTCCTCTGCTCAGATTTTCTGCCACCGCTTCTCAACACCCACTTCCAAAAAGGGTTTAGGGCCACCGACGCCCGCACAATCTGCAAATTCTCCATTGATCGCGGTTGGCCTTTGTTATCCCCCTCTAGACCTTTAAACCCCCTCTGCCATCTTTTGAGATTAAATATGGCAGACAACGCCCCCCTACCGCTGAGAATTTGCTCAGCGGCGCTGCTGCTCACGCCGAGGAGATCGCCTCCCAGCATGATTTGCTCCCCCGACTCATCCCGTACCTTGACCGTCACCTGGTCTTCCCCCTGCTCGAGTTCAGCGCTACCGGCGATGAGGAGGACAAGGAAATCACCCGGGCGAAGTACGAGCTTCTGAAGCACACCAACATGACCGACTACGTCGCCAACTTGTGGCAGGAGATCAACAATTCCGACACCATCCCCGAAGAGTTTGTGAAGAAGCGCGAGGAGGTTCTGGCCAAGCTACAGCACTACCAGGATCAGAGTGAGAAGATTACCGAATTGTTGCAGGATGAGGAGGTCGTCGGCAATCTGCGAAGCGACAAGGCCGCCAACTTGCGGTTCCTCGAGGAGCAGCACGGTGTCACCAACGAGATGGTCAACGCTCTCTACGACTACGGACGGTTCCAGTACAGCTGCGGCAGTTATGGAAATGCCGCTGAACTGCTTTACCAGTTCCGCGTTCTGTCCACCGACAACGACAAGGTTGCCGCCGCCACATGGGGTAAGCTTGCATCAGAGATCCTGACCACCAACTGGGAGGGTGCTATGGAGGAGGTTCAGAAGGTTAAGGACTCAATTGAGACTCGCCTGTTCAACAACCCCGTGGCTCAACTCACCAACCGCTCGTGGCTCATTCACTGGGCGCTGTTCCCCTTCTTCAACCACGACCCCGCCCGCGACGTCCTCACCGACCTCTTCTTCTCTCCCGCCTACATCAACACCATCCAGACTAGCTGCCCTTGGGTTTTGCGGTACCTCGCCGCCGCTGTCATCACCAACCGCAGCCGCCCCCACAAGCACTCCGGTGTCTACCAGAAGCAATTGAAGGACCTGATCCGCGTTGTTCGCCAGGAGGACTACGAGTACACCGACCCCGTCACCGATTTCGTCAAGGCCCTTTACGTCGATTTCGATTTCGAGGAAGCACAGAAGAAGCTCGGCGAGGCAGAGGATGTGCTCCGCAGCGATTTCTTCCTTGTGTCGGCCGCCGATGCTTTCGTCGACGCTGCCCGCCACCTCATCTCCGAGAGCTACTGCAAGATTCACCAGCGTATTGACATCAAGTAAGTTTTGATATTGGAAATTTGACACAAACATCAAACTAACGTTGTTTTCCCTTTCTAGCGACCTTTCCGCTCGCCTCGGTCTGAACCAGGACGAGGGTGAGAAGTGGATTGTCAACCTTATTCGCGATACCCGAGTTGACGCCAAGATCGATTATAAGGAGGGCACTGTCATCATGAACCACCCCCCTCAGTCGGTCTACCAGCAAGTCATCGAGAAGACCAAGGGTGCCTTCTTCCGCACACAAGTCTTGAGCTCTGCTGTTGCAAAATAAAAACACCATGACCTTGATGTTGAAAACTGAACTTTTCTCTGTTATGTGATTTCCAACTTGTTTCTGCCTGCCCCCTTTTTTAGTGATCTCCCCGTGTCGGTCACAACACGGTTGTTTGGGGACTCCATGCAGAGTGGCATCCGGCTGGCGTTTTTTCGGGGGTCCACACTTATTTCTTTACCTCTTTAGTCTTGCAGTTCTTATGCACACACTCTCTCCCCATATTTTCACTTCCGTCGGATATTTTGCTGGACCTCTTTATGTATTGGCCATTTCTGACCCTGGAGGTTTGGAGGGAGGGGTCCCCAAAAGCAGCCATGGCGTCCCCCCCGTCTAATCTTTGGAGGGGAAAAAAGATGAGAGATGGAGATATGATGTAGTAGACTCTTTGATCTTAGGGTCTGATTTATCTATGCTGTTACGAATGGTCTATAGAGATGAGTGAAAGATGATGTCTTTTTTGACAATAAGCCTTCAAGTCTATTCTTAAGCTAGGTTTATTAATAGTTCAAGTACTGCTGGGCATTATGTCCCTGTTTATCATTGATTCGTCATCATCATCAGGGTTGAACATATGTATTCCATTCGGTGTATTAGCATAAAGCCCGTTGGTGTCCATATCTGCCTCTTCTAGCCCTGGTACATCTAACCTCTATGCGGCTGATAGGACCTCTTCGCTTGTCTTCGTTTCCCTCCAAGCCCCAAAGTATCACTCCGGCGTATAATGTCAATAGGATAACAGCTTTAAATCCAAGATTCTAATGCAAAATCAGATTTGGCGTTATAACCTTAAGAGATATTCAAGACCAGAAGCAAAAGAGAAAGGGTATATCAGAATGAGACAAAAAGCACATGTTCCTATCACTTCAGACCCGGGCTGCGCTCTTGTCCTCACAAGCCACTTCCATCCCAGGATTGGGATTTGTTTCCTTCCACTGGTCCGTCCGAGGGCTTTTTGTAATCCAAGGAGTCCACCTGGGCAGCAGAGTCAGGGCGTTCAATATCCATGTGGCCAAATGTCTCTGTGTTCCACGAAATCCTCCGAGGCACGAAGAACCAATCTTTCCATAAAGAATAGAAAAGAAAAGAATACAAAACAAAATGGCCAACCGGTGCGTGATCAGACGGCCGTACGGGAAAGTCCTCATGATGCTGCTGCTCAACGGAATCCTAGAACGGATCCAAAGATTGGAAAAGAAACGCCGAGTCCAGTGGATGGAAGCAAGGAAACCAAATTGGCCTCAACGACCGCCTCGTGAGTCTAGTTGCCTGCGTGGTCCGGTTTGACTGATAAGGATGATTTCATTGATGTATGGCTCAGATTGAGTTGCTGAGTTACCACTGCTGGAGCTAGAAATGGAGCCACCGCTGGAATTATGGGCCATTCGAGTAGCTTCTTGCTTCTCGTACTCCCGAGACATTACCGCAAGATCATCAATTTGTTCCTGTTCGGAAGAGTTAGTAATTTGTAGTTTCTAGTCACTCTCTCGCTCTTTCTCCGATTTCAATGCTTGAATAAAAATGGGGGCCACAGACCCGCGTGAGTGGCACTCCATTGATGAGGTAACCTTCACGTCCCTGTAATTATATTATATTAGAATGGGCTGTATAGAGAAGGTGTAATGGAAGCAATAACAACATGCCTGATAAGCAAAGGGTCTAACTGTTGCACTTGGTCCAAGGAAGTAATGGATATGGCCTAAGACAATATGGCGGGATAGCCCGTACCCCGGAAGCCAGTATTGCTGGACAGGAGACATTGTCAGGGCTGAGAGGTGAGGCGTCAAGACGAGGCGGAGGAAGAGCTAGGGTCTGATGTCAGTCGACACCGACACAAACGGTCCGTGCCTGAAAGCTCTTTGTGGGACTTTTGGCACAGGTCCGAAGGACGAGACATCGAGAGTATAAATAAGTGGATTGATACCCTGGTTCACCGATTAACAATCCCACCAGGAATGGAGACGAATAAGACAAATCTCTATGGGGGATGCACTAATTGCCAGCCTCGATCCTTCGGGAGATATGGTCTCACAACAGGTCACCGGCAGAGGGGACCGCGTACCCCCGTCGTCGAACAGTACGATCCACAAGGTCGCTGCACATACTCCATAGGCAAATGAAACCAATCGGCTACCCATGTATCCGGTAACTCTCGAGCGAGTTCTCCACGGAAGGCGGCTAGAAGAAGAAATGGAAACCAGTAGGATAATTACTAGAAACGGGCCAGATCCTGTGTTCTCACCGTTAAGAGGAGCGTTCCTGTCGGAACGTTCGGGGGCTTAAGGAAGAGAGAAACCACCCGCCTCACTTTCATCAGCCAACGAGGCCCAACCCTTTTTTCCCTCTTGAATGTGTGTCAATTTGGAGCTTCTGACCGTTACAGTGGAACGGGATCCTGGTCTGTCCACTTTTTTACCTCCTCCCGAGGATTCGGTCTGACAAAGTGAGGCTTGCGTGGAGGAGCATCGGTCTCGAATCAATCCCAGGGCACATGGAATTGGAGTATTTGGAAGCGAGAATTGTATGGCTGTATGGGTTCTGACACTCATTTTCCCTCACCGCAGATTCTCAAACCTATGCAGCGCGAAATTGGCTCTTCCGGCGGTGGTGTCGTGGCACCACGGATTGTGGCCTTGGATCGCGGGGCCACTGAGCTGCAGATGTGCTCACTGCAGCTCTCGCTTTTAGGGCATGAACTCGCTGTTAGGGCAAAAAATCATGTCCTCTTTGAGTTGCCAAGATCATATTGTATATGGAGTTTTTGATCATCGAAATATATCGCAGAAATAGATGAGTAGGAACGAAACGATTGGAGTTTCTCTCTCGAGGATATATATTAATTGGTATTCATCATCATTTGGCCAAGGATTGTGTGCATTGTGTCTCCGATCGACCGAGAAGGGATCAAGGAGTTCGTTACAGAGGTTAGTCAGGATGTGATAGATGATGCATGGACTAATGTCCGTAAGCCGGGGTTTTCTACATAGGGGCGGTTCGAGCCGATAGTCCACAAGGCCAACGCTTCATGTAATATTCTCTAGTCTTTTCATAATTCGTCCGACATGAGGGAAAACAAATATCTCGCATCGACATCGCCTTTACTGAGGAGGCACATATGGGGTCACCAACATCTCACTGAACTTTTCCAACTTCTCCTTCCCGCGCACCTCCTCAACAAGCATTGGCATGCGGACCACATTGAAATCTTCATAGAGCTCCTCAATCTGATCGAGGTACTTCTTCTGCATCTTTCTCCGGGCAGTGCACTGCTCGCAGTCACTTCCTGCCTTGGGGAACAACAGCTGGTTGACAACGATTGCGTGGGTATCAATGTTGTAGCTGGTTAATTCCTGAATCATACGTTCGGTTTCGTAGAGCGACAAGAACTCTGCAATGCATACACAGACAAAGGTGGTCATGTCTGGGTTCTTGAACTGCGTGTTGACCTCGCTAATAGTCTCCCGCAACGACTCCATCTTCTGCAGCAACTCATCCATATTCTGACCTCCGGGTAGACCGCCACGAGCGCCCAGAATCGAGTTGAGCATGGGACCGAACTGGGTGGAGAGCTGGGAGAGCTTAGCCAGGGCCTTCTCGAGCACGGTGGGGAATTGGAGGAATCGAAGGGTGTGGCCGGTGGGGGCGGTATCGAACACGATGACTTCGTAGGAAAGCGACTTGACCTGCTTTAGGACTTCGGCGAAGGACATAGCTTCGTCAACACCGGGAATCTGTCACCAAAGTTAGATTTGACACGTAGAGTATCTGGCGCAACAGCTGTATAATAAGCACTTACGCTGAAGGCAAGATCCTGCATCATGTTTCCCATGCCCAATCCTGCCATGGGGTCTTCCTGTCCATCTCCGGTGGCGAGTAGATCCTGGATGCTCCCATTAGGGTCGATTTCCATCGCGCTCAGGTTTGAGTATCCATCGATCAGACGGGCCTCCTTTCCGAACTTCTGACCGAAAGCATCGCTCAGGTTGTGTGCGGGATCGGTCGAAATGAGGAGGACAGATTTGCGGACTTTGGCCAACTGGATGGCCAACGAGCACGAGGTGGTGGTCTTACCCACACCTCCTTTTCCTCCGACGAAGATCCAACGAAGAGTGTTTTGGTTGAGAATTGACTGGAGCGTAGGCTCCATGTCAAGGTCGTCGCCATGTACTACGGCGGAAGACATGTTTGGCTGAGGTTGCGACTTTGCGAAGTTGGAAGTTCAAGACCCAAGTTGCCCCGCAAAATCGAACTTTCCGGAAGACAAGACTTTCACATCACTTGACTTCCTCTTTTAGTTGATTCTATCATTATCACACTACTGTGTTCGATATATAGGGGTCCTAATTACCCCTTAACCCTCTACTAATCGGAAGGCTTTCTATGACAACCTCTTCGTCAGAACAGTCACAGTAAACCTGTCATGGAGATAATTCGAGACAATTCCATTTACTATAGATTATCACAAAAATATTGAAACTATACACATATGTGCGTGGATCCTAATTGATAGCTGCATGGCACTCTCCGTAGTCATCGGTATCCTCCGATGAACATTGACGGCAACGTAGAGCTCCCCCTTCCAGCATAATCCTCTTTTTTTTTCTCCCTCTTTTCTCTTCTTATATTCTATCTTCCCATTGAATGAATGGACTCCCCTCAAAACAACCCACAACTTGGTCGCACCACCAACCGCCTCGCACTTTATCAGCAACAAATCTCCCCCACCCCGCACACCAAAGACTCAACCCAAATCAAGAACCCAACCACCATGGCAGCGCGCGACCCCATCACCTGCCATTGTCTGAATACCTTGTCAGGAAAACCCGCAGCCAATCTGCCAGTCACCCTGACCCTCCTCTCCACCCCGACATCCGCCAGCGACATTTCATTCCGCGCAACCACAAACGCCGACGGCCGCGTCGCCAACTGGACACCAGTCGGAACAACCTCAGAGTCAGTGCCTGCTATCTTGGCTGCGCTGCCCGCTGCAGACAGCAAGACCAACTGGTCTGTGCGCTTTGACGTGGGTCCCTGGTACGAGGCCCAGGGCGTCGAGAGTTTCTGGCCAGAGGTTGAGGTTAAGTTCACTGTCAAGGGACGTGGCCGTGAGGGCGAGGAGGGCTGGCGTCACTATCATGTTCCAGTCCTTCTGGGTCCTTGGAATTATTCGACTTATCGGGGCTCGTGAAGTTTTGGTATAGATGAGGATGAGCTGGGAACTGTAAATATTTCAATCTTTCTAGGGGCTGATAGATATCAACGATCACCTATTGAAAATGTGTTATATTGAAGTATGCGTCTTGGCTATGGTCTTTGTTGTTCGGTTGTCGCCAGGTTCTGAGCTGGTACGGAGTAGATTTGTGTAGATTATTAGGGTGTAAGCATGTCTATCTGGGTGAGGATGATGGGGCTTCCCCTTGAATAGTATGGTCTACCTACTCTCGGGACGAGAAGCAGCACACAGAACATTTCAACTGGATATACTGACGCTCTTGTCATAGCTTGATCTTTCCACCTCTAAACTTCAAGTCAAGTTGACTGTGTTTTCCTGGAGCCTGTTGGCCGTGAAGCAACCTTGAATGTAAGTTTCTGCAACTGCCGGCATTTATAGAGCTTAAATATAGTCCAACATTTCGCCCAATGCCGGTATTTTCGAGTGTTTTTGTGGAAATGAGGACTGCAATATTTTGTATTACCCTTGATGAACTTTGCGCGAACACCATTCAAGTTTTCAAGATAGAGTAAAAGCTGGTTGAATCGCCAATTCCAGACCGTGTTGAACAGAGATCCGGAGTAGAATCAAGGTTGAAGGATACCAAGACTGTGGGGAATGTCTCTCCACAACGGAACAGCCCTATCCTCATGGATTGAACGATTTAGGCTAGACCTTGATGACTGTCACAATTGACATTTTGAAGATATGTGTAGAACTACATGACATATCATATACAACATTGTCATGGTATATATTCAATCATATTATCACCTAGGACGGTTGGTTTTTCGTAAGATCAGGGGTAATAATATGATTTTGGCCAATTTGACGCGATGTGTCTCAACGATGGTCATTTATGTGTAAGGTGCCGGACGCGACCTCGAAATTATACCCCGTATACATACGGGGACACGTAACCATACACGTTGATTAATAATTATCCCCCTGAGCCCTGAAGGCTCGGGACGTAATAGGTCAACTCCGTACAAGCTCTACATATACGATAAGAGCGTTTCCGCCAATTACATGGTCAATGATATGTATAGTTCCCCGTCGGGGTACAGTGGTGTCTACACTCTCTGTAGATCTAGATATCTCTGCTGTACATTGTAGATTCCAGTGGCAACTTCCAAGGAAGATACCTCACGTGTCGTTGCGTCATCGTTTTCACCACATTCTTCGGGTTAGTGCGAAATTGCTTGTCTTGGCATTCGACTAAAATGTATTCTGATTGGATGAATCTGGACATCTGATCCACAGCGGGAGAGATTTCTGTCGTCACCGTGACATAATGAATAATACAGGACTGGGATGACCAACCTCTCGGTATCAAAAATCTTCCAAGGACGCAACCATCGACTCGCTTGCAAGTCTACTCTGCACAATACTCCTATGAGATTGGACCAGGTTGACAATGCTCCTGTGGTCAAGGGTCTAAGTAATCTCTTGATGTAGAATGTTCGAGATGGTTGCACCTTAGACAGAACACCCAAGTACACGATGTGCCAATAGAAGAGTACAAATGTACGGAGTACCAATAATAACACTTGGATATGGTACCAATGCACCAATCTCGGTGGAAATAAAGGCCGAAATTGACGAGAAAGACCGTTACAATCATGTATGTTGCATACACATCGAATTTGTTACTCAAATTTTTTTAAAATTACCGTATCTGTTGGTAATTGTGGTTTTTTTCTCTCATCTGCCAAATCCCAAAATCCCTAAATTTCATCATATCCCTCTTCCCCCTACGTCACTTTCTCTCTTTCTCTCACACTCCCTCTAGAGATACACACTATTGTTTATTTGGCTTTACAGATTTTATATCTCATTTTATTCGAAGCCTAATGTCTGCTGCGGTCGCTTCAGCCGTATCGACTCTTCACAATATGTCTTCTCCTATGGACTCGAAGAAGACAGAAAAAGAAGGTTCGTGTCACGGATATTTTCTGCGCATTTTTTTCTAGTACTTTTGCTTTGATATATGCCCTATTATTCCCATCTGCATTATACTTCGAACTCCCCTTTTTGGTTTTGGTAATACGCCACTGTCCTCCCCGAGCCTTAAATTCCCAAGTCTTTTGCCGTCGCGATGACTTCACCCTCTGGCGTCATTGATTTTCCTCCCCACCACATCTTCCACAATGAAGCCCCCAACACGATCTCATAACCGCAGTGGTACCTATTTGTGATCGTATGAATTCTTGGCGCATTGCTAACTCGATCCCTTAGACTCGCAGGCCGCGTCACAGAAGGACCAGAAACCTAACGTAGAGACTCAGACCTCGTTGGCGCCGCCTCCACGACCGGGTGCGCCTACTGCGTCTGATACTCCAGACTACTTCAATTCCATGCACAATCCTTTCTCGCTAGAGCCCAATCCATTTGAGCAATCGTTCGGAGGGAATCCGGCGGAGACCCCAGGCAAATCGCTTCTTCCGTCTGTCGCTGCCCTCACCTCACCGGCCTTACCTGGAACAAGTTCTGCTAGCGGTTACAATTGGACCAACTCTCTACGCTCGGGACCTCTCAGTCCGGCTATGCTCCCAGGGCCCACTGGCCCTAATGACTACTTCGATAGCATCGGTCGCGGCTTCCCTACCCCGAACGAGTCCTCCCTCCGCACCGGACTGACACCTGGCGGTGGAGGCTCCATGTTCCCAGCCCCCAGTCCCAACTCACAGGCTCTCTTGCAACAACTTCAGAACGGTGGCGCCACTCCTTCCACTATTGAGTTCCATCGCACCGCGCTCGCAGCCAAGAAGAACAACGCGAATGCTCCAACCTCCAACCCCAACGAGCAGGAAGCTGCTGCCACTATGGATGTAAAACCAGCTCGGCCCGCTGACTTCACTCAACATGATGCGGCTGATGCGGCAAACGGACTGTTCATGCTGGCAAAGGGTGGCCAGACAAATAATGCTCCAATGAACCATCCCCCAATGCCAAATGATACCCGTGCTGCCACACGACGTGTCTCCCAAAACACCAATGGTACCAGTGCGGAGGATGTGTCTGACCAGGAACCCGCTAAACCTGCCAAGGGCAGAGGGAAAAAGAACGCCAAGGCTCCCGCCAATAACCGCCGCAAGGCTGAAGATGCTCCGAAGGGATCCAACAAAAGGGCGAAAGCCAACACGGAAATGCCTTCGGATATGGATGATGAAGATGACGAGGACGATGATATGAAGCAATTCCCCATGGATACCAAGAAGATGACTGACGAGGAGAAAAGACGCAACTTCCTGGAGCGGAATCGGTATGAATAACCACCTTGATGTACTCAGAGATCAGCATGCTAACGTTTACAATGCAGTGTCGCGGCTCTGAAATGTCGTCAACGGAAGAAGCAGTGGCTGGCTAACCTTCAAAATAAGGTCGAGCTTTTCACCTCGGAGAACGATGCCCTTACTGCGACAGTGACTCAGCTGCGTGAGGAAATTGTTAACCTCAAAACTCTTTTGCTGGCACACAAAGATTGCCCGGTGTCTCAGGCCCAGGGGCTCGGTCCCCTTATGATGAATGGCATGTCAGCCGGATATGATCACCACGGGTATAACATGCCTCCCAACATGGGCATGCAACCCAGTGGCATCCCCACACAGGGCATGCGTCGGTGAGAAAGCTTTGCTTTGTTTCTCATCTCAAGATACCTATCTTGCTTTTTCGCCGCATACAGGAAATACAGTTCACTGCTTAGACCCGGCAGTTGATCTCTTCCTAGGAGTTTATTTTTCCTGGCGGTTTCTTTCGGTTAAGGCTTTGCCGACTGTTTTGGCATGGGCAGGTGTTAATGAACCTCACGACTCAAAAATGGACGGACTAACTTGGTGGTCTGGAATGACCTTTTTTTGAGGATGTGTCAATCCGGCGTATGAGATGTTTTCTTTCTACTTATGGCTTCGAGGTTGTTGTTCTGCTTTATGATGTTCCCTCCCCCTTTCCCTTGTTGTATTTTTTACCCTTTTGCTTTCCTTTCTTAATCCTCCCTGGTCTCTCAGAGGAATTTTTAACCTTTCGCTTGTCTAATACTTGAGGGCACAACGGTGCATTGTTTGTTTTCCCAAATGTGGGTTGCTGTCGAAATACATGATTCCTGGGTGGCGTACGGATGGCTTTGTGATTTTTTGATGTGTTTGACTAGTTTCCTTGAACCAGATGGTTGGGCAAATGAATCGACAATCGCTTTGAATGTGTATACATCCTTTTGGATCTATGTAGATCCTCAGTCTTCTTGAGGTAGAGGGAAGTTACTGCGATGCTTCAAGTTACAGCTCCTAGCTCCGGGATCTACAGGAAAGGGAAAGTATGAAACAACCATAGTGTTCTATCCATATCGTCAGGCATGGTATATCATCATTATCATTGTATAGTACATAATATCTTAAATATATGAAAGTAATGTACATGTCTAAAGCGCTCAGAAAATTCTTGTGATGCTCGGCTTCATCCACATGGGCTTTTCACACTTGTGGTTCGCCTGCCAATTTTGGATCTTTTCGTTGTCCCATCCAGCCGTGAATTGATCGGCAACCTCTGGTTTGCTGGTACCCCCAAGCCGCAAGGTCTTCACAAACACACAGGCTCCAACGCTGTCATAAGTGTAGGACATACACCAATCCTTGTCGTGGCATGCCTGACGACAGGCTTCTAATGATTCATGCTGGGGCAGAGTATTAGGCTGTTCGATGATTCCACCCCAGGCTCCATTATCCCAACCTTTTCGCTCTGGCAACTGTCCCAGACGAAGATAGTCAACCAATTCTGCGTATAGTAATGGATTCTGAATTGACACGGATTAGCATGCATACCAATAGGCTCGACAAAAGGGTTCATACCGTTCTATCTCGCTCATCCTCCCAATCTGTCAGCCCCGTCATGTCACTCAATTGCGATTTATGCATGCTAATCGCAGGCTGACACCAGTGATGATCGTCACCAAAGGGAATCGAGTCCAGCGGGTGCGGGTTGAACATCGGCCACATCCCAGACAACTCGATGCCCTTTTCATACAACACAAATCCAAGCACAGAGTCGCCGCAACAGTCGTCTTTCACCGCTTGCATATACTGTTCGCTAAGCGATTGTCCAATAAACTGCCCATATTTACCAATCTCCCGCACAACCAATGCATCAATCGCAGCTCTGGATAGCACAAAGCCCGTGCCACCGTATGCAAACCAGAGTCTTTTTCCATCACCGAGGTCGCGGCCTGGCGCAGGTGATCCCATATACAAAGGGACAGATGAGTCGAACTGTTCCAGCATTCGGAACAGGTTATCCCACACCATGTAAGTATCCGTCTCGAGAAAGACGTACCACTCTGCATCGGGGTTCACTTTCTTAGCCCGTTCCACCATGGGTAGAAACTTGTATCGATCGAGTTTCCACCCCGCCGCGCCGTCGATATTGCTATCCCCGCGTTGTAGCGCATCATACCCTTCGAACTCCGGAGTCCGGTTCCGGGCAGAGGGTGGCAGATCGGCTAGGATATCGTATACATGATGGCCCTGGAGCTCGGTCTCCTTATCCGATACAACTAGCAAGTTGGAAATGCAGCGAGTTACAGAGGCCAGGTGTGTGTTGACTCGGTTCGGGTTTTCTGTTGCGCTGGTTTTCAGGGTGATCTGAACGCGCGATAACAGGTGCGACGGGAAAGTGTCACAGGTACCATGCTGCGATGTCTCTGTAGAATCGGTTTCATTGCCATGCTGGGATTTCCGGAATTGGGTTCTCGTTTCCCATGTCCAGTAATCTTTGACGTTTTCGATCTCGTCTTTTGCACCAGGTGAGATGTTTTGTGATAACCCTCCCGAATACAGTGTGAGTAGGAGGATTGTCGAGACTGTCAAGAACGCAGCGAGTAATTTGAGCTTTGCGTTGCCTAATACCCTAAAAAAGGGCCGCGCGGTCGCTGATGTAGATGTGCCGGGGCCCATAATGGGAGATCGCACATTGGGGTTTTTTATTGAAACAGTGACATGAAAGAGAAAAGGAGAACAAGGACATGAAAATCTAATTGATTAATGCTTTGTTAGGGTCGCTAATTAGGGCGTCTGGGCGGCTCAAATGCTACAGATCCTTCGTATATGGACGACTCACGGACGTCACTATAGCGGGTCGGCTCCATATGGTCCCAAGTCCTGACCCCTAGGTTGCATGTACTCTGGCTGCACTCTCATTACGCTTTGACTGCGTATTGCCTTGATCTGAACCTAACAATCGGTGGAGTCTTAACCGAGCGGTCTGAGTCCCTTGCACATATTTCATGACTGACCCAGTGAAGGCCACGTTCTGGTCTTAGTTTCCAAGTGTAGTCGGCCTTATGTAAAGATACTCAATTGTGGAGAACTCATAGATGGAAGCCCACAAAACAGCCCGAGGGTGTAATGGAAGAACAGGGGTTTGAGAACCTTAGGATGTGTAGCAACTGCCCTAAGGTGGGATTTTATATGAGGGGGATATATTATCCATATGAGGTCGGCACGGCACCTCCAGGGCTGAAAACTCAGATAACGATAGGGCGATAAGATTTAGCTGCCTTACAAACTTGGCATCAATCCACGTCAAACATCACAAACACAAACATTCAAGCTTCAAGCTGGAGTCCGCATTATCTCCATTGAAATGCAATTTACAAGGTTCATCTCGGACGTGTGTTGAAATTCTACAGTCTAGTCTCAGGCGTAATTCGCGATCTTCCCCTCATACCCGCTACCTGACCGCGATATCATCTTCCCCAACAATTGCTCCACGAACACACCACCCACAGACCCCAATCACGAGCGAACAGATACAAGACACCGAATAATCCGCCCACTAGGGCACCGGGCAGCCAATGTCAAACCCAGCCCGGAACCCTGCGCGCGGGCGCCGCTTAGATGATGCCCTCTCCCAGCTAGTCGATGGCCTGACTCCCGCGCTCCCGATCTCCGCCATTCAAGACGAAGATTACTCCGATGCAGAGGAAGCTTTGGCCGCAGCCGAAAGTCGCCGCCACCATGTCCTCATGGAGCGCGCGTGGCGCATCCTCGACACCCACGCCAGCACCAACACCCCAGACCCAGGGTCACCAGCGGGGCTGGGTGGACGGCGCGGAAGTCTCGCCGGAACAGAGAACATCAACAACGCGCCAGATTTGATTAAGCGCAAGCTGCGGCGCGAAAATGTCAGCCCGGATAAGGCGGTGCGGTTTTCCAATCTCTACTCTCGCCTCCTGACGCAGCCTGTGCTGTCGCAGAAATGGGGTATCCTCTTTTTACTTTATAAGTTGTCCGCCTCGGATGAACCAGTAGAGGGCGGGGAACGAAGCCGGAGCCCGTTGATGGATGAGGTGAATTTGCATAATCTGTTGGGGAAGAGCGGACGCCCAAGACGAGGCACGATGATCGACTCGGAGGATGAAGGTCCCGCTGTCAGCTCGTCGGCTTCGCAGCAACACCACCGCGTGCTGCCGGTGAAGATGGAGCGGCAGAGCTCGTTGCGACATGATATCGATCTTAATGGTGTAGATCAGGCTAGACGCGGCTCAACGGAAATACCAGCCACCCGCTTTGATGCTGGAGTGAATGACCGTCCAAGCGATGAGAATATTCGTGCTGCCTCGCCTCGGCCCTCGAGTGCCAATCCATCAGGCCCGGCGAAATTCTCTGGGTCTGTTGAGCAGAGGCTCTTGCGCGACCTTCCGTTCAATTTGCAGGGGTTGTCTTCATCGAATCTACACTTTAATTCCTCGTCGAGCTTGAAGTTGCCCTCTAATCTGTCTGCACCGATAACCTCACTTCTTAACACGTTGGCGGAGCCTTGCCTGCTCTATAAAGGCCTGTCTGTGTTTGTGGAGAGCGAAGAAGGGGGGTTGGTGAATCAAAGCTTGCGAGCTGCTATTGCCATTGAGCTGCGCGCATACCTTAGCTTGGTGGCTACACTAGAGGCGGAAATCCGACAGGCGCTGGCCGCGATTGGAGACGGAACTGAGGTTCAAGGTGTACGAAAGGGTGGCGTTACCTTGAAGCGATGTGTGGTGTGGACAAGAGATGCTACGATGGCTCTTCGACTGATGAGCTTGATCGTGGAAGAGGCTCAGAGTAAGTGCACAGGCAGATGGCTAAATTTTCTTATGGCTGACACGAATCACAGGCAAGAGGGGTGGCCAGTTGATTTCCTTGATACACGGCTTTTCAACATCCCACGGAGATCCCTTCGTGTGCGCCTTCGCCGAGAAACTTCTTGCTCATGTCACGCGTCCATTCTATGACATGCTACGACTATGGATCTACGATGGCGAATTGTCAGATCCATACAAGGAATTCTTTGTCGCTGATCCAGAGTTCCGGCCAAAGACTGACCCCCGGCGGCTTGCAACAAGCGTCTGGGAGGACAAATATAAGCTCGATGATGATATGGTACCTTCAATCATTACTCAGGAATTTGCGAAGAAGATTTTCCTGATTGGAAAATCCTTGAATTTCATCCGCCATGGCTGCGGTGATTCGGCGTGGGTGGAGGCCTATTCCAAGAAAGCCTCCAAGGAGCTTCGATATGGTGACACCGCCACTCTCGAGATATCTATTGATGAAGCATATAAGACCACAATGGCTCGATTGATTTCCCTGATGAACGGAAAGTTCAACCTCTTTGATCACCTAAAAGCACTAAAGAGTTACCTGCTGCTGGGCCAAGGAGATTTCATTGCTTTGCTCATGGAGTCGCTTGCTACAAATCTGGATCGTCCAGCAAATTCACAATATCGACATACCCTGACCGCACAGCTGGAACATGCTATCCGTGCCTCCAATGCACAATACGACACCCCAGAAGTTCTGCGTCGGCTTGATGCCCGTATGCTCGAGCTGAGTCACGGTGAGATCGGATGGGATTGCTTCACATTGGAATATAAGATCGATGCTCCCGTGGATGTGGTCATCACACCATGGGCGTCAACCCAATACCTGAAGGTGTTCAACTTCCTCTGGCGCATCAAGCGAGTTGAGTTCGCGCTGAACAGTACCTGGCGACGATGTATGACCGGTGCACGAGGAGTACTCGGCAACGTGGAGGACAAAGTCGGAGCAGACTGGAAGCGAGCACGCTGCGTGATTGCAGAAATGATCCACTTCGTCAACCAGCTCCAATACTATATCTTGTTTGAAGTCATCGAGTCCAGTTGGGAACAACTGCTCGAGGCAATCCGGAGACCGGACTGTACGCTGGACGACCTTATCGAAGCACATACCAAATACCTCAACTCTATCACCCACAAAGGTCTATTAGGGTCTGCATCCTCCTCGCGCTACGGCGCCTCGACCTCAACCTCCGCCAAACAACCCGAAGAAAGCTTCCTCAGCCAGCTCCACCAGATCCTCAAATTCATGCTTGCCTATAAAGATGCCGTAGACGGCCTGTACTCCTTTTCCGTTGCGGAATTTACCCGTCGCCAGGAGATAAATGCCAAGATCGAGACTCGCTCCGCCCAAGGTCAATGGGGTCTCACAGAGCGTGATCTCATATCACGTCAGTCCAACACTCGGACGGGGACCTCAATGGCCTCAACCCCGGACGTCCGACCCGACAGTGCCGGCGTAGACGGCATCAATACCCCTCTTTCATTATCCGGCCCTAATCTCGCTGCCGACGACAACATGCTTGCCTCACTTCGAGTCCGCCTACGGGAAATCTCCGCTGAGTTCCGCTCCCGGCTGACCGTTCTCCTCGGTGATCTATCGTATCAGCCAGATGTGGATATGCGTTTCCTGGGTGTTGTGATGAACTTCAACGATGTCTATGAGCTGCCTAAACGGCGAAAGGCGGTTGGTTTGAGTTCTAGGGATAAAGAGAAGGAAAAGGAAAAGGAAAGAGAGAGGGAGAAGGCGAAACGGAGGGCTGCTGCATCTGCGGCTGCTACGGGCTCCGGAACTGAGAGTTTTGTCCAGAAGGAGGTGCGCAGGGAGAGGAAAGATACTGGGGCTAATGATCCTGGATTTGCTTCTGGGACATAGATGTCAGGTATTACATTCTTCTTGGGCACCATTAATGCAGTTGACGAGTTCTACGATATGCTCATTTTCATATGTATAAAATTATCAGGAGCTGAATACATAATAGCAAAACAAAAATCCGGGGCTATACATAGAAAATTGTCTACATTATGCTTCCTTTTTTCCCGCTTTCTGTCAGTCAAAGCGACCCCCTGCCACGGCCCAGTACAAAAAATACAATATTCTTTCTTGAATAGTCTCGAGACCAAACTTCTACGAGTGAATTAGGACTGTCAAATGCTTGATTCTGCCTTGATAGGTATGATTGATTGTCTTATAGAAATTTTCGGGCTAGTAGAGACTGTGTGTCGTTGTGTTTTTATACAACACTGTGTAATCTCTTCTTTGCTGTAGTACTATGGAGAAGGAAGGATAGAGGAGATGATGTTGAAATTGGAGAAAGCTATATTTTTGCCTGAGGCAACACGTCTAGTTAACTCCCGCGCAATTGATCGGCAGAAAAAAAGTTGTCTCCGCCCAATCTCAGCACAGTCGAAGTCGCATTTACAGACCCCAAAGTCCAGATCTCAGCCTTCTTTAGATCATTCCTCCCAATTCTATCTTGTGTTTTGCCAGAACCTGTCGCACTCTACCCACCACAATGGCGCACCAGACGGAGGGCAAGTCCCCGTCGAAAAAGCTCGAATCGAAGCTGAAGAAGTCGAAGGATTCTACAAAAGAGGGAAGTGCCGACGCACAGGAGTCCACCCCCAGTAAAAAGGACGCCAGATCCGAAAAGAAGGACAAGAAAAAGCGCAAGTCCGTCGCCGAGGATGTACCCGAGACAGACGGCGAATTGAAGAAAAAGAAGAAGCGCCGCCATACCGAAGATGAAAACGACCAGAACGGCAAGGATGAATCGCACAAGCAAAAGAAAAAGCGTGTCTCATTTGGACCTGGGACAAAGGAATTCGACGGCGACTCCGACAGCGAGTCGGACGAGGCTGACAGCAATGACGCTGTCGCAACTGACGGAGCCGACGCAGACGTCGAAGACGCCGGAGACAAGATGTACGAAGAGATGAAGCAGCATAAGCGGGACAAGAAGAAGCAAAGGAAAAACGGCACTGCCTCGACTGATTACCCAATCCACGAGACTGCTATTCTCTCGTACTTGAGCCACTACCACCGAGCGCGCGCGACATGGAAGTTCCAAAAGAACCGGGAAACAAACCTGTTCAAGCACATCTATTCGCTTGAGCATGTTCCCACTAAGTACAACACGTCATTGCTGGCGTACATGCAGGGATTGAAAGGCGATGCCGCTAAGCAGAGAATGAGCGATGCTGCAAGACAGGTTATCAAGGCTGATATGGATCTCGATAAGCCCAAAGAGGACGAAGAAACGGAGGAGCAAGAGTCCAAAGGCCCAAGCCCCGAATATCTGCAGGCTATCAATGCGTTCCGCGAGTGCTTGCCCACAGGAAGTGAGGACTTGGACAATGTCAACTTCGGAGAAAAGCTGGAGGGAGAAGCACAAAAGCGTTTGCCGAAGAGGCAGCGAGCAGAGCTGGTCTTTTTCGCTGTTGCTGGCAAGCTTTTCAGCGCAGAGGATTTGAAGAAGCCGAAAAAACCCAGAGCTCCCGAGCCAAATGTAGTCAAGAAGCGGAAGAACAGAACTGTGGTTGTTGATATCAGCAGCAGCGAGGATAGTGACGATGATGTCCCGGCTCCGAAGAAGGCTGTCAGCAAGCCCGCGCCGGATAGTGATGATGAGACCTCGTCGAGCGGCAGCAGCAGCAGTGACAGTGACAGTGACAGCGATAAAAAGCCATCTGCTGCCCCGGCCCCGACCAAAGCCTCGACCAAGGCCCCAGCTAAACAAAATGCCGCGAGCACACCTCAAAAGTCCGCCCCCAATGGTGTTGGGATTTCAAAGAAGGAGGCCAAGATTGCCAAGAGGAAGGAGAAGTTTGTCCCAGTTCGCGAAGAGAAGCCTCAGCCTGCTGTTCCGAAAAAGCCACAGAAGCGAAAGCTTAGGACTGCTCAGATCGAAATCTCCAGCAGCGAAAGCGACAGCGAGTAGTTCTGACGAAATGGGGCTTGGATTGTTCTCTAGGGTTTGGATGTGTATATATCTCTACCACAGCATTTGGGACGGTGTAATTATGTTCATGTCAAAAGTCATTTTATCCTCATATCGTCCATAACTGATCTGCATTGAAGCATGTAATAAATTACTATACGAATCATTCTCCCTCGAAAGTTGATTGATATTCACGCATCCAAGAGCGAACCACAAAAATAACAAATAAAAATTACAAGACAATATTTTGATCATCCAGCTGCAGGTCTTCACCATCCTGTAAAATCTCGAACTCAGTAATAGTACGAGAAACCCAATGTACAGAGGTGAGCTGTTTATAGAGGAACCTAGAAGGCGGTGAAGCTGACCTCAAGCTTGAGCTCAGGCAGCTCTGGCACGCGTCACAGAGTAACCCCCATCGTCTCATCCTCTTGAACCTTCCTTTCTCATTTATATCTTTTGCTTTTGTTAATCTCACTATAAAATACTTGAAGATCCGCCGTCATGTCTGGTATGCTCCCTAGTCGATGGCCCACCGCAACCACATGACTTCATCCACTGACCTTGGTTCTCTCCGCAGGAAGCGCCTACGATAGACATATCACCATCTTCTCTGACCAGGGTCGATTGTACCAAGTTGGTATGTAATGCCCACTTGATGAATCCGCCTCGATCTACCCAGCGGCCTCAATCCGTGCGTTGTCATCACCGCTGACCCAACACCTCAGAATATGCATTCAAGGCCATCACCTCAGCCAACATCACCTCCATCGGTGTGAGGGGCAAGGACTGTGCCGTGGTGCTCTCCCAGAAGAAAGTCGCTGTAAGATGGATTTCTTGATAACTGAAGGGTTGCGCTCACGCTAATCCATTGTCTCCTAGGACAAATTGATCGACCCATCCTCCGTTTCACATGTATTCCGGATCTCGCCTTCCGTAGGTTGTGTGATGACCGGCTCCATAGCAGATGCTCGCGCATCCGTTGACCGGGCCCGTGGTGAGGCTGCTGAGTTCCGGTACAAGTTCGGATACGAAATGCCGTGCGATGTCCTGGCAAAGCGACTGGCAAATATCAACCAGGTCTACACACAAAGGGTAGGACTTCCCCGCCATTGTACAATCATTCCATTCAGAGGGACAGGGTAGCTGACATGGTTGAAACTCTTCAGGCTTACATGCGACCACTTGGCGTGGCTACGACCCTGATCTCTGTCGATGATGAGAGCGGCCCGCAGCTCTACAAGTGTGACCCTGCCGGTTACTACGTTGGATACAAGGCGACAGCATCTGGACCCAAGCAACAGGAGGCGTTGAACCACCTGGAGAAGAAGCTGAAGAACAAGGATGCGGCCCCGGGCAGCTGGGAGGAGGTTGTGGAGCTGGGCATCACAGCCCTCAGCAATGTGCTCAGTGTTGACTTCAAGAAGCATGAAATTGAGATTGGTATCGTTGGTGGTCCACGGGTCGATGGTGAGGGCACAACTACAGAGTTCCGTGCTTTGACGGAAGAGGAGATTGATGAACGACTGCAGGCCATAGCCGAGAAGGACTGAGCGACCTCCTGCAAGCTATGGATGTAAGCGACCAGTAATGGAAGGACTTTAGAGAGAACCAGACGATTTGTGAATGATAACTCAATTTTCTGCATGGATTTATACTTTCGGTCATGTTCGGGGTTCTGCACCTTGAGATAAACTAGAGAGATCCATTTCCGATACTATCGATCTGATTATCGATCTGAACCTCGGGATACTACGTCTAGCATAATGCTGTCGGGTAGTCCGAGATATCATTCAGCCTGTCACAATGAAAAGAATGTCACTGGAAAAGATTGACTATCGATCACAGCGTCTACCTGCATCCACCTTGGGAAATGCAAGGAGACACGGACATCAGAGTGCCACATGTGGCTCAGCGGTGGCTGGGGTCATAAAATTGGAGCGTTTTTCTTCGTCTCTGATTGGGTCGTGTTCATCAACCTAGCCTGAGGAGGAATACTAAAGTGGCTAGAAGACTTCGACTAAGAATAAGTGTGGCAAAAGACCAGCTGAACATGTTCGCTCCAAACTGTCAGATCCACTACACGTCAAGTCCGAGTTCAGGTCCGAGTTTCTCATGCAGGTCCAAGGGCTGAGACTCTGCGAATTTCCTCCCCCACGAGGATGCATCGCAAAAAAGAAAAGAAAAATTAAGATGATTCTCCACCGAGTAGTTCACCAAGACTCTCCAATCAGCATCATGAAACGACCATCCGTTCAAGAACCAAATCGAACACAACTTAATCTCACATGCGGGTTCCACTTTCAATCCACAGGGTTGATGCAATCGACCAGTTCCTCTTTCTCTCTCCACTAGGTCCATCTCCTTGGGAAAAATGCCCTGCCGTAAACGGTTTCTCGGGAGCTTATGGGGCCCGGTCCCCATCCCAGCTGTGCTTGACAATCCAAACTCCCTGATCGTGGCATCCTGACCGTCTATTGGTGCAGCCCAACTTCTGGCTGATGTATCCTGACGTCGGCTCCAGGGCTGATAAATCCATAGTTATTATTTTACCTCTTTGGGGAATTATGATGGTATGGGAGACACCATTCCCAACTTATATCTATCCATCCCCCCAACTGTTGGTGGCCTAACATTCTCGACTCCATGGACCTTCAGTTCCTCTGACCATTGCCTTTCTTTCGTCTCTCATTGGCTATTGATGTCCATTCGTTATACTTGCTTTTTGACTCCCTATTCCATCTGAATCACCCTCCTTTTTTTATATACTTAATATGGCAGACGGACGTAAGTTGATCCTATCAGCCAATGAAACAAAAATCAACTAACGAGTCATGCAGTCAATCAAGCCCGCGCGATGCGAGTCGCTGAGATAATCAACGACTACCGCACTCTCCTACTCCATATCTCGCAACAGCAAGTCAATCCATCCCAAGAAGAATACTGGGAAGATGGCTTTGTGGTACTCCGCGAGTCTCTGGCCTCGGCCCAGACCCTAATGTCCGCCAATTACCAACCCTGTCCGGTAACAGGGCAAGGGAACGTCGAGACCGAGAAGGCCGAGCTACAAAGGTACAATACCCAAACACACACACACACACACACACACACACACACACCCAGTCTCTCCAATCATATCGACACACGTTAACATCCGCTCCGCAGAGTTATACTGGACAGCAGCGCACGCAGATTCCAAGCGCACAAGATCTACCTTCGCGCCGCCGCAGCCAAGCGATGGGCCATGACACGCGCCAGCATCCTCCGCGGCTCTCAGGCGACAGCCCAGCACGCCGCAGCTCTCAAGAGCGCAAGTGTCACCCTCCATCAAGATCTGGCTCGTTTCACGGACCAACATGTCGTGGCGGACTTGCGAGCTGCTGATCTGCGCGCTGGCCACTGGGTTCAAGATGATCCATCCTTGGAAGCAATTCATCGCTGGGTTGGTCGGTAATCGTGCGAATGATGTGAAATGGAAACGAAAACGAGAATGGATATGAGTGCATGTTGCATGTAGCCTGGGGTTGAGGTAGGGGGCTTTTTCGGATTTTGCCTTCTACTGATTTCCGAGTGCTTGTGAGTCTAGTTGAGACTTTGTATGATTCTTTCTAATCGAGGGGCTCGAGGGAGATGACAGGTATAGCGCTGGTCGTGGATACCGTCAGCCTGTGAAGAGACAAAATAAGTTTGGATTTATTGCGTGGTTTTTGTCATAGCTACGATATCCCCTCTTGTTTTTTTTATTTTTTTGGGGCGATTTCTCTGTTGGTGTTATGAGACTTATAAAAAAAATCAATTGCATTACACTGTTCAATATATGTTGTAGACTCTCTATCGCTTGTACACGCAATGTAGTACATACATGCATGCTTGGCTAAATGCATAGATGTAAGGATAGCCCTAATGGCCCCACAATCACAAAGTACGTGTATAATCTTTACTCTTAGGGACAGCATGCATGGAAAAGAGAGATGTCGGTAATTGACACATGAACCTGACACCTGGGGCGCCGAGGCAGAGATACCAGCTGAAAGATCCACCGCATCTTCCAGGGTGAAGGGTCAAAAAAAATTTCAAAAAACGTTGTACCGATCGAAGTGGATCAGCATCGATGGAGATGTCGGAGACGGATTGTGAAGCTAAGGGCATTAGTTCGGTTGCGTAGATCCAATCAGCACTACGAACGGCCATATCGCGGCTCGAGTTCAGCTATGGACTGGATTTTCAGGCCACGCTTCTTTCATTTTTCTGTTTCCTGGTAATTTGTTCGAGGGAATTTGTGATTCTCACGTTTTATGTCCCGTTCAACTAATAATGAGCTTGCGGATCACTTCCTACCCATACATTTCGCTTCCTAGACGTCTTCTCGGCCATTGTGGGTTGTTTCATCTTGACGGCATGATTATGAGGACGTGGGGCATGGATAAAAGATGCTTTGTCGATCATTGCACAATCTCCTTCGGCGACCTCCGAGTGTGTTCAATATTGTTTTGTGGGTAAGCATGGATATAGAAGTGCTCATATGATGCCATAGGAAATAAATAAAGGGCGGCCATATAGGTTGCATTGAGGCCAAGCACATTTGAGGATCATCAGTCATGCTGCAGTCTTGATTGATAGGATGATCATCTTATGACCAAGAAGGGCGCTGAAGCCTGAGTCCACGTGTAGTCTAGTTGACCCTTGTATACCACTCGTCTTATTACAAACACTACCCGCGAATGCCGATTCTCTAAACACCCCTCGGTTGGAGACGGTCGTCACTTGCCACAGGTTCGGTCGATCTACTACCGGAAGAGTTGGATCCATGCCCAATTTCCCATGTGGGCTATGAGGGGGGGGAATCGCCTGATCAGGGCTCTATATGACGGTACAATGGCTTTAAGGGCTCATTTCAAGCTCGTTTTGCATTGAGATACTTCTAATCAGATTGTCGAGGCTCAACAGATCCATGATCTCAAGCTGAACCTCCAATAGAATAACCAATGAGTTCTGCTGGTTATGTAGGCAGTCATCATTCCACATCGTATTGCCTTGAGGCATGTCCCATTCTTGCCCCGGGTTGCATTCTTCAACATCACGAGTGCCTGATCCCGTCAATATTGTGCGGCCACCAAATAAGTCTAAACTCACAAACCAATCAACTCACACGCTGTTACGTGAAGCACATTGGGGATTGGCCAAGAATGAGGTTACATGCACTTGGAACAGGCGGAGGTGTCACGCACCACGTTTTGCTTAGTTCGTTCTGGACATTTTGTAAACATACATATATAGCCCCGGGGTCGTCTGTAGATTCTATCTTCGTACTGAATATTATCCGATCTATCTTGAGTATCTCGAATATCTCGAATATCTTGTTCTATTTATATTCAGCCACGTTTGCCTTGCTGCCTTGCTGCCTTGTTATACACCGCCACATGTGAGTCCCGGCCAATGACGTGGCGTTGAGATTGCCGAAGGTACAACAGTGCACTAACAATTAGGCTGCGACATAAAGTACCCCTAGAAATACTGGCCGTTTGGTGTTCTGTTGAACCTCGTATAACTTTCTTTTGACTTCGAATTGTGGCTGATCGACTCAATCTCATCACTTTGTTTACTGTCATAGTGGTGGCTGTTCTTGTACACTTCAACTATACCCAACCTGCAACCATGTCTGAGATCAAATCAGTCGTCTACTTTGTCAATTGGGTATGTGCTTAATTTGGATTATGTCATTTCAATCTCGACTGCATGAGCCGCGTCCAGTCTACTATATCTAACTAGCGGGATATCAATATAAAAAAAAAAGGCCAAAAAAACATCAGTGTTGACAAACCTCATAGGCAATTTACGGCCGCAACCACAACCCACAGGATCTGCCCGCGGAGAAACTGACACACATTCTCTATGCATTCGCAAACGTTCGTCCTGAAAGCGGTGAAGTGTGAGTTTTGTTGTCCTTGCAGACTGCAGAAGATTTCCTCTAATCTAAAACTGCAGCTATTTGACCGACTCTTGGTCCGATGTCGAGAAACATTACCCGACAGACTCGTGGAATGATGTCGGGGACAATGTGTATGGCTGTGTGAAGCAGTTATTCCTGCTCAAGAAGCAGAACCGCAAGCTCAAGGTGTTGCTTTCTATTGGTGGATGGACCTACTCGGCGAATTTCGCACAGCCTGCGAGCTCCGATGAGGGTCGAACTAAATTTGCCGAATCGGCGACACGTCTAGTCCTGGATTTGGGATTTGATGGTACGTTTCATCCGCTAAGTACTGCATACAATGCTGATTGTAACTCTTTCATAGGTCTTGATATCGATTGGGAATATCCCAAGGGTGAGTTTGTCAGAATACACTCGAAAGAAGTACGAGGCTCATTTTATATACAGATGAGACCGAGACCCAGAACCTAGTTCTCTTGCTGCAGAAGTGCCGAGAGGTATGTCTCCTAAATCCTAAATTGGACCAAACTGACCGGATACAGGTTCTCGACAGAGAAGCTGGCTCTGATCGCCGTTTCTACTTGACAATCGCCTGCCCTGCTGGTATGTCTCTACCATGTCATCGGCGATGGAAAACTGCCATGAACCATCAAACTAACTGTCACAGGCCCGAGCAACTACGAGAAGCTCAAGTTCCAAGAGATGACCCCAGTGCTAGACTTCTACAACCTCATGGCGTACGACTTCGCCGGAAGCTGGGACACCAATGCTGGCCATCAAGCGAACATCTCCCCTTCAACCTCCAACCCCACATCCACCCCGTTCTCAATTGATGCTGCTGTAAACTACTACATCAATGATGGCGGTGTACCACCCTCAAAGATCGTCATGGGCATGCCACTGTACGGGCGTGCATTTGAGAACACCGATGGACCCGGCGCTCCCTACAACGGGGTCGGAGAGGGCAGTTGGGAGAAGGGAGTGTGGGATTACAAGGCGCTGCCCAGACCCGGGGCCGAGGAAAAGTTCGATGAGGAAGCTGGTGCGTCGTACTGCTACGATGGTGGTTCACGCACGATGGTTTCTTATGACACGCCCCATGTGGGGCAGCTCAAGGCGGATTATATCCGCGAGCACGGGCTGGGTGGTGGTATGTGGTGGGAGAGCAGCGGTGACAAGGGTGGTAAGGAAGCTAATGCGGCAGATGGAAGTTTGATCGGTATCTTTGTCGACGGGGTGGGTGGTGAAGGTGCTTTGGATCAATCGTCTAATGCCCTTGAGTTCCCCGAGAGCAAGTATGAGAATCTCAAGGCCGGCTTCCCGGAATAGTAGGTGACAGCTTGCACGGCATTATGCATTGTTATTTGCAGTACAGTTGACCACACGGGATGTGAATATCAAGTCTACGAATACATACAAGTCTATCATTACGTGGGAGTTCAAGTTTTCGGCGTATGCCTAAATTTTTTGTAATTGACTGAAGTACATGGGTATTCCAAGCAACCATCATCAACCAGCGTCAACCGTGACACTCCGTCACTTGCCCCAGCGTAGCGGAACCATGCCCAAGCTCAGTGACAGCCCACCACGGCCCAACTTAGACCATTTATTTGGCCTCGTCGAAGACGTAGGTGAGGTGGCACTTACCGCAGTACTGGCGGTTGTGCATAGCGGCCATGAAGACACCGGCACCACACTAAGAGAATGGGTTAGTTTCTGCTGATCGGAACCCAAGGGTATTGTCGCAAGACAAGAGAAATCACATACCTCGGGAGCGGGGCACTCGCGGCGAAGACGCTCGATCTTTCCATCACCGTCAACCTTGTAGTACTTGAGGATGGCGAGCTTGGTCTTCTTGTGCTTGTGCTTGATCTTCTTGGGGGTGGTGTAGACCTTCTTCTTGCGCTTCTTACCACCACCACGCAGGCGGAGGACGAGGTGAAGGGTCGACTCCTTCTGGATGTTGTAATCCGAAAGAGTGCGGCCATCCTCGAGCTGCTTACCAGCGAAGATCAGGCGCTGCTGGTCAGGGGGAATACCCTCCTTGTCTGGTGGAATGTTAGCCTGTGTCGCTTCTTTTTTTTCGAGAGCATCGTGTGCGATCGCTGCTCGCGAATTTCGATTGCGCTTACCCTGGATCTTGGACTTGACATTGTCAATGGTATCGGAGGACTCCACCTCAAGGGTGATAGTCTTACCCGTAAGGGTCTTGACGAAGATCTGCATCTTGATGAAGGCCTAGGGAAAAGTCAGTGAGATGCGACTATGAAAATGTAGCGGGCAGAGATAGAATGGACTGCAGGCTAGTTGCGCTTGCTCATCACATTCTTGTCTGCTTGCAGAGGATAAAAACTCACCTCGACAGTCGTGTCTTCCTCAACCTTAACAAGATTAAAAAAGATCGTTGTGCGCGGCAGCGGGTTGGTGATTAAAATGGTTGTGTGGTCACGTGTGTGGGTCTCATGCCGAAAGTGGTCTAGCTTGAAAGAAAAATGTTGGCCTTATATCTAAGGGAAACTAAAGAGATAGGCGAGGGTTACGGTGATAGAGCAAAGATATGAATCTTTTTCCATCAAATAGGTGCCATGGTCTAGTGGTATGACGAATCATTGTGGTGAAGTGCATCTGCACCCATCGGTTCTGATTTAGCCCCGGTTCGATTCCGGGTGGCGCCATTTCTTTTTATTTTTTGTTGCTCTATACAAATATAATGTCGAGATTCTCACAAGGTTACTTACTGGTTATGAAACACGGTACTTTCGTTCAAGTTCAAATTCTTCAATATAGAGGTTTGTCTCGATCTCTTCAAAGCCTTTGTCTAAGGTTTCCATCCAAGTCAGTTGGCCCGTCTCCATGTCAGCCCTGGAATCATCTTTCGAATCCAAATCCATTTTTGGAGGAATATCGTTAGGATCTTCCCTTGCAGCTTCCTCCTTAGCCCTGCACCCACAAGTGACTGTTACTCTTCGACGAAGCAGTCGCTTCAAGTGAGCTATGCTCAAACCCCCCCAGACAATCCACAAAATGATTCATGAATTACGCTGCTTGCTGTGTGGAACTTGAGATCCAGCGCCAATGGCCTTTACTCTCCCTCTGGGCTCTCACGGCAATCAGCAGCCTGCTTGTAGGATCCGTTGGAAGAGCCTTCCTAGCGTAGGGGAGGTCCTACGGGGAGTCAAAAAGAAGCGGGCAAAATAAAGCTTTATCTCTATGGCTAAGCTTAAGGTGGAATTTCAAGCGTCGTGGGAAACTGAATGCGAAGCCCCTAGGTTTTTGAACGAACCTCGGCAGTATTTTGCCCACTTGTGAGTATCGCTATTAGGGCTTTAGAAAGTACCTGTAAAGGTTTAGTATATCATAAGCTCGCTTCCCTACCTGTAGATTTTTGGAACAGACGTACTGCCACGTTAAGTTGTATGCCGGCCTATGGCTTTGGGGTATCTGTTGGTAGGAATAAAACGAGATCAACAGCGCGGGGTGTCTGTAGTACGTATGCCATAAACGCTTCTTGTATATTCAACAAGAGCATATAATTGACCGGTTTTGCGGAAGGATGGGTGTAGAAGGGCCCTGAAACTTGATGGTGTAGTAAAAATATCAGAATGCTTCCAGAATCCCAAATGTTGGAGTGTAGTGATGAGTGATTCTTCCGATATTCTGGATCGTAGTGTCTTCCAATATGCTCACATGGGCTTTGCGATTGACTGATATATAGCGAAAAATTTCTTTTCTTTTGTCTAGAGGGATTGTAGGTAGATCCCTAGTTTACCGAGATTGTGTGATCTAATAAATATCCACGTGAGGTCACGAGGAAGACTACAAGGTTGAGTAAAGTACTCATCTGGCCCAATTGATCTAGACTTAATGTCCTCCAGAAGAGACGGAGTTCGAGAGGTCAGAGAGGCTTTCAAGATGTCTTCCACTGATGATTTTCCAATGCGGCTCAGGGTGTCCCTATATCAATCCTGAAACTTTTCACCGTTCTTCTAGAGCATATGCGTAAGAACCTAGCTAGAGTCAATCCCGCCTATGCTGCTAGTATACTCACCTATTGAGGTCGTTGTTTGTTATCTAGCCGAGCCTCCCTGTGAGTTCGAGCCAAATACTTCTTGTACTTTCGAGTTAATTCTTTTTGCGTAGTAGGCTCGATCTCATAACTCTGCCTTCCGACCTCACCTGCATCATCGTCGTTGCTTTTTGCTTTAGGAGACATCAGGATATGATCAACAGGGAATGGGATGGTTGTTTTAGCCACAGACGTCTCCTTAGAAACCCCTCGATGGGCCCTTCATTGTTTTGAATTGCTCCTTCCTTCTCCCTCGTCCTTGGAGAATGATTCAAATCTCCCCTCTACAAGTGCCCTTGTTTCATACTAAAAACCTCCATTTTGGTATAAGATCATATATTCTTGCCGTAGGTGACCTACATCTCACTCCCTGTAGAATGATCCTGGGTCGAAAAAAGGTCTCCGCGGAATCGCGATAGGAGGAACTGGTTGGCAGTGAATCAAGTTCTGCGCTAGAGTATGGGTAGCTAGCTTAAAGGTGCACCGCTCGTATTGTGAGAGGAATACTATGAAGTATATTGGTTTCCTACCCTCTTCTGTCTTTCCTATGGTCTTTCGTATGAGCTTGACCGAAGGGTCTTTTAGTACTAACACGGAACGATGGTAAATTTGTCTTTATTGAGATTGTCATCGAAGGGGCTGTATTGGTACTCCTATCGGAGGCTGGTCATTGAATAGCTAACATTTTTTATAGCGTTCCCTCTGTTGCTATATCTTAATATAATTCCATCGAGGGGTGTCGTTATCTGGGGGATCAATGTAGGCATTGTTTACTCGAAAGGAAATTAAAAGGTCAACTAGGAGGTTGTACTGGCTGTCAAACTCTGAGAGGCCAGCTTAGAAGGCTTTAGTGATCTTCTTTGGATTGGTTCGTGTCTGTGGCGGAGCGTTTGTGGTTCAGATAAATCTAAGACAACATATGGTGAGAATGATAAGAAGTGATATCACTTTGGGGGTAAAGATAGGAGGAACTGCGCTTATTCCCTACCGGTAAACTGAAATTAGCTATCTGACCAGATAACCTGATAGGAGCCTAACAAACAAGCTAATATATCAGATGGTCCAGCGGCGATGATAGGCCATGCGGCTCATATTGGGACTCCTACGGGCCATTAGGATGCATTAAATACTTAAGACCCCCACTAATAGTAAATATATGTTTTGAATACTACATTCTTGGACAACCAACCATCTTACAGCCTTCGTATCTAGTATCTCACGTATGAGCTACGCAGTCTTGGGCAAGATATATATTCAATATTAAATGCGATAAGCTATACCTATATGACCCAACCATATATTTATCTAGGCTTTTCTTGTAGTCTAACTCTTTTTTATAATATACTGCCGGCTGGGGTGTTTCGGGAATACAGCATAACAGTGACGCATGACATATATATATTTAAACACTGAAGGTTCAAAAATAATAATTTTCAACACCATGACAGTACGAACTTTTGATCTACTCGAAGGTGACACAGACATATTGAAACGAGTATTGATTGCTGTGGGCGTGAAAAGAACCCCCCCCGGGCCACCCAAAACACATTGGTTGTTGAGATAGATGTGTGGTATATATCCCATTTACCTTCGTGTTTTGGCTGCGCAGCTCGTAGTCTACACCACGCCGTATGTTATATGTTCCAATGTTATGTTGGACTGCCATTCATCCTAAATAACCCGCACTTTTTCACCCATCTACATTACTTTTACATTGGGTATCAAGGCATCCCGCCCACATGAGCATTAATATAGTTGCGTATCAGTAAACAAAAAAAAGGACAAAGATAGGTAAGCCACATACAGGACGAAAAGAATTTATGGCAGGAACCCCGTCACCTACGGTAGTGTTTCAATACAGCCCAACGAGGCGGAAACAGAAGAACAATCTGTACAGAGTACGGACACACTCTCCACCCAGCGAAATAACCCCGGCTAATATACTCTGGGTATACATCCACTACCTGTAGTACTTGACTAGTATATTGAAATTACTATAGTATCATCTGGTATTCCTAGCCTGGGATAATACCATGGCATCATCTACCTACGTATATACGATGCCGATACATCCAAACACCATCACCATTCACTTTAATTTCTATACCACATGAGTAGTTTCGCCACTATCGATATCATAGTAATTACCTACATATGTTCGCTACATAGCTGAATCTCACGGCCACCTATATATGCAGGTAGCGGGAGGTAACCCGAGATAGGTTAGTGGGAGTGTGTCATAAAAGAAGCCCAGCAGAATGATCCTGATACTCCAGCGAAGTACAGAGTACGATGAGTGGTATGACGAGTCATTGGGTATGGTACTGACTTGAGCCTCATCTTACCCGCGTGGAACCTTTTTTAAGGTTAGAACTTAAAAGATACGTATAAAAGTGAAGGAATAATTTATCTTGATGTAGCAAATATTTGAGCTTTTCCCATCCAACAGGTGCCATGGTCTAGTGGTATGACGAATCATTGTGGTGAAGTGCATCTGCGCCCATCGGTTCTGATTTAGCCCCGGTTCGATTCCGGGTGGCGCCATTTCTTTTTTAATTCTCTTCTTATGGGAAACATTGTGAAACAACTTTATAAATATAAAAACGGATTATTTCCCCATCAAGTAGGTGCCATGGTCTAGTGGTATGACGAATCATTGTGGTGAAGTGCAACTTGTACCCATCGGTTCTGATTTAGCCCCGGTTCGATTCCGGGTGGCGCCAATTCTTCTTTTTTTCTTTTTTCATATTATTTCTTTCTATAGATAGGGAAAGATGAGAGGGCCTGGTGAGATTCACCCGCCTCCACAAGGATATACTAGCGTCAAAACTTCTGCCAGTATTTTTGGATGTTGCTTCGGTTACACACAATGCACTACACCGCAAAGTACTAACACCCTGGTCAGTATTCTGCCCTTGGGTGAGATCCCATCCCTGGTCAACAATTGTTAAGTTCGGAATGTCGTTGACTCCGCGGGTTGGAAGATTGGGGCTGTTTTCGGTGGCATGTTTCACTCTGGGGAATTGGATATGGCCTTGGATGTCTTCGCTACCACGTCTGATCAGTCGGCCTCCTGTTAGAGATGTTGAAACGGTACTCCACACCTTGGGTTGTCTGTCAGAAGGTCGCCTGACGTTTTCACAATAGGGAGACAGCCAACAATAACTCAGTTGATGAGTGTACAGATGCTGTCGAGTGCAACGTGGGTTATTCCGGCTCGGGGAATGCTCAAGAGTGCCTCAGGAAGCATTACTGGAAATGTGGAGCTCCTTGATGATGGGACTACACTCAAGGGCCTATATCCAGGTTGTGATATTGAAAACAATGTCATAGATATCGCCAAAGAAGCCAGCATCTATCGTCGTATTGGACCGCATAAGAGGCTTGTTCAGATGTTATGTCACTACAGGGAAGGTCTCATACTCGAATATATGAAAAATGGTGACCTCAAGACATATCTTCAGGCTCACGACTCGATATCAACGAGCCTCAAGTTGAAGTGGGTGTATGAAGTCGCAGAGGCTGTCGACCTCTTGCATAGGAACGGGATTATCCATTGCGATATCAAACCACGAAATTTTCTGTTGGATACGATGTTCGAAATAAAGATCATTGAATTTTCTGGCTCTTCACACTAGATGGCTCGAAGCCAACCTCTGGTGAGATTTTTCCTTCCACGGCATTGGAGAGATCAACCGCCGGTAGCCACAGATCTTTTCGTACTAGGGTCGACTCTTTACGAGTTTACGCAAGGCACCAGCCCGTACGAGGAGGTTCCTAGTGATGAGGCTGAAGGACTTTTTACTCAAAAGGAGTTCCCCGATATATCTCATACACTGAGTGGAATAGTCATCAAACAATTTTGGCCATCTCAAATTGAGTCAGCAGCGGATGTGCAAAATTCTACCTGGACTATTATATTTCGCACAGCCAACGTCGACTGTATCCCTCACCCCGATGATCCGGGCACTGCTCAGGATATGTTGATTGACCCATTGATTCCCCCTAGGGTTGGGGCAGTCCACGCCGCTTTGTCTTGCTTCGATACATCTATGTAGACTTCTCGAAGTTGGTCGCATGTTGACGGGCAGCCACGGCAATACCCAGTTGTCAGCTTGGCCGCCCTAATCCATCATGTTTCTCACCTTTCTTGCACCGCTACTCACATCGTTTCCAGCAGGTGGATTTCACGACATGTCATTCTACTATAGCGAGAGAAACTCAAAACGAATATTAGAACAGTATTTATTGACAATTTTTGTGCCGGAAATTTGATTGAAAGAAATGAGCGAAGGGATACACGCTTTGCTACTTGGATCCTCCAAGCGCCATGTGCATACACCCTGAAAGGACTGAGCGTAGTGTCCTATCGACATTATCTCCCATATAGACAAACACAATGATGAGAACAGCTCAATCCCACGCCCCACAGTCAATTTAGAGTCCAAAAATCCTCTACATATGGAGAGATCCAAGCAACCAGCATGTAGGAAGGTTTTATAGGCCATGCATGGGAAACTGATTCTTGGAGCGCGGAGATGCGGATATATCGGCCGAAGCGGGGTGCTTCCTGCCTGAAACAAAGCTTGAAGTGCATGCAAATTCGATGGTTGAATTTTTGATGTCTTCGTCTTCAGTTTATGAGCTGGTTATAATTTGGGAAGTGAGATGATTATCACTAGTATCATGTGTAAGCCTCAGGATGAACTATTATACTTGATAGATTTAAAATGCCTGCCGTTTTCCATCAAATAGGTGCCATGGTCTAGTGGTATGACGAATCATTGTGGTGAAGTGCAACTGCACCCATCGGTTCTGATTTAGCCCCGGTTCGATTCCGGGTGGCGCCATTTCTTTTTATTTTTTTCCCTCTCTCTTTTCGTGGCCCAGAAAGGCATATAGGGAGAGAGATTCTAAATGATTCATTTTCTTTTGAATATTATGGGGGCTGGTGAGTTCAGATTGGAGATAACTCCCGCTGATGGTCTTTTTCTCAAGTCTCCTATGCTCGGTATTGTAGTAGGATATCCGAGTACAGAGACGATCACGTGACTAAAATGCATGGATCCATGCCTGAGGCCGTGGACAGCATCCCATGCTGGACAGGGCGAGGATCATATATTGATGTGACGCCATTGGCAATATCGGCAATATCGGCCTATCGGCCTATCGGTATACTATACATTATTGAAGCCAATGTTTATGCGATCGACTTGTTTCTATGGAGTCTCCTCGGAAACGAACCCAGGAGTCCATTGTACGGTCTATAGCTTGATCGCAGGGATCTGGATCCCTTACAGTACCTAGATAGAAGAAGGGTACTAAGCAAGGCCTCGATCCAAAAGGGTAAAAATGGAGGGCAAGGACCGTCCCACTTTTCGTCAGAGAGCCTTGGTTTCCCAGACGCCCGGGCTGAGCCGTTGCTATGCCAACGCCCCGATTTGTTGATCAGAACGGGTCTTACATAGATCTGGGTTCCAGAACCAAACCTTGGAAACACTTCATACATTCGAGTTTCTGCTCTTCAGTTCAGAAGTGAATTAACCTGGACTTGATCTGAGGCTCTAACCCTCTCCCTATCGCTTACTTTCACATTCATATACTGACACCTCATCCAGGACCCATCCGTCGGCAATATAGCCATGAACTCCAACGCGCTCGGAAACGGTCATCGCCGTCAAATCTCCACACCAGTGGCTCCATTCGAGCTTGCGCCAGTCATGACCAATATGCAACCCCGTCGGTCACATCGTCGAGGCCAGACTGTAGACTACAGCTCTTTCAGTCAACAGGCCACTATCGACCGACACATGCCGAAGACGGTCTCGCAGTTGCGAGATTATTTTAACGAAAAATCAGGTTTCTCATATCAACAAAGGGATGGAAAGCAGTATCAATCCTATGCCCAGCAGCCCGAGCGATCTTTCATGTCATCAGCCATGCACATGCAACAGCCGTATCAATATCAACCGTCCCAGTCGCTCGGGTCTGACTGCCAGGCTTTCAACCAAGAACAATTGCAAGCGATTCACACCACCACTGGTAGCCCGGCACCATCTTCTGTCGGCGCCCCAGCTTTGTCTCGATCAGCCAGTGAATGCTCCGAAAATACACCATTGAAGCTTGCGCTGCACCGTATGCAGCAAGAACAATTCTCGAACCAGCAACAACAATATATTGGCAATGCCGATTGGGAATTGTTTCCCCAGCGCAGCATGCCAATGGTCCAAGACGAGCAGGTGACGGCCTATGCCGGTCAAATGCACCCAGTCTCTGTTCAACCAAAGGCTCCATCTGCGAAAATTCTTTCGCAACTGTCTACTGCTTGTATGCATCTGCCGTTTCCATTTGATCCGACCGAAGCTCATTATATGACAGATAACTCTCCCATGACCCCCGATTCTACCCCATTGAAACGATCCATTGATTATTCCATGTACAGCAATGACCCAACAACTTCCAAGTCCCAAAGTTTCTCATTTCCCCATACCCCTGCTACTGCCGAGATGCAGAGAGCCCAATCTTTGCAGGGAGTCCCCTATGTCGATTCTGTTCAGGTTAAGCCGCAAATGCCCTCCCCCGTCAATTCCCCGATTAGCTCGTCTTTTACCGAAGTGGCCGATATGCCATCCCCGACGTCATATGGAATGACACCTCAAAACTCCAATGTCTCATTCGCATCTTCCACTGGCAGGTCAAAGAAGCGAGCCCAGTCTACTGTCTCTTCTCTTGCCGATGCGGCTGCCCAAGATGGCGACCTTGATGCCCGAGTCAAGGCTTCAGTCCAGCAAACCGGTGTCTCCACCGACGAAATTGCCAAGTTCATCTCCGGCCCCGATCCAAAAGATGGAAAGTGGGTCTGTCTATTCACAGGCTGCCTTTGCCGCTTTGGTCGCAAGGAAAACATCAAATCCCACGTCCAAACACATCTCGGAGACCGTCAATTCAGATGCGACATTTGCGAAAAGCACTTTGTGCGTGGACATGATCTCAAGCGCCATCTCAAAACACACAGTGGCAATAAGCCCTTCGCCTGTGCCTGTGGTGCCAGCTTTGCTAGACAAGACGCCCTGACCCGTCACCGCCAGCGCGATATGTGTGTTGGAGGCTTCACCGGTGTGGTTCCAAAGACCACAAAGCGTGGCCGCCCCCCGAAGAAGAAGACCAGCCGTCCAGATATCGATACTCGTCAGGCCAAGTCCACTCGTACTCGTCAACGTGTTGCTGAAAAGTCCTCAGCCGCTTCAGCCAATACCACCGTGACTCTGCAAGAAGCTCCTGTATTCAACTCGCCCAACTATGCCCCGTCCACTGTGGTCTCGTCTTTCACGCCGCCAACCTCCCCCGGACACACTTACCAGACAATTTCCTCGCCATGTCATACCTATAATTCCCTGGATGCCCAGCTTGAGGATGATATGTTGCCCTTGTCACCACCCCAACTCGCTCACGCTAGATACGAGCAGGCAATGGCACAGTACGGGTCGGATTTCGGTTCGCAGACATACTCGCAAGAATCTACCTACTCGCAGGAATCTCTCTACAGTGAATCCGCTCTCTCACCTCGAGAGATGTCGTCACCTCGTTCAGCACCCACCATGACCGAATCATCCGTCAGCTCGGAGATCGATATTTTCATGACTCAAGATTCCTCCGATGACTTGCGAGAGGAATTCGGTCATCTCGCTCACTCTGGCATCCCTGCTTTCCCGACTTACCAGTTTGTGGATACAACCGACTTTGCCTCTGTCTCGTCTTATTACCCCGAAAAGACCTTTTCTGGTCTCTCACACGTGGACGATGACCTGACAGACCCAATCGACTGCTTGTCCAGCGAGTTCCTGGTGGACCCTTGAACGGCTTTTATCAAAAAAAAAGAGCACGGCGATACATACGCGGCTTATCATTTTCACGGCGAGACTTCTTTGCAACGATACGGGACGACCTTGTACACTTAATGACCCACGACAAAATCGGGCGTTTTCCTTCTCTGCACATTTCGGGATTTGACACTTTGCGGACTTGCGGGTGTTTGGGCTACTTGCTTTTTGCCCTCTTTGCCCCTATTTCCCCCTGTATTTGTCTTTGTTTTCATGTTTTTCATTTGTCTTTCCTCATGAATTTGTTGTTCACGTCCTTTCGCCACTATCTCATCTCATTGAAGATGTTCGATACTCGGCATGTTTATTCCCGGTGTTTAACCCTTCTTTTTATATGTTCATGATGCGATATGTATTTGATGTCTTTACACTTTCAATGAATCTTTTCTGTACACCTACCTTGTTAGCAAAGGATGGTTTGTTAGAAGGATTATTTTCCTTCGGTGACAGACATAATTGAGGATAGCTTGTACTCTACTATTTCAAACTTGTTATACCTACCCGTTTCCACATCGTCTTTTACTTCATTGATCGTTTAATTGTAAGCTGAATCCTCTACTTTAAATTCCCAGGTCAAAAAACAGGAAAGGCCTGGCAAAAGAGCCAACCCAAGAGAAAGAGAGCACTATCTCCTAGACTACAGCCCTCGACCTTCAAGTTTGCTAATACGTACCTTTGTTTTCGTCCATGAAAAAAACTACATATATCAAGATCTTACTCTGGACAATGCACATTTCTATTTGAAATTTCTAATAACTCCGCGTCAACAAATCAGTGACTAACAGTCCCTCGCCCTGTCCTCTGCCATGATTTCTGTGCAATTCTATCACATCCCAATAGACCAACCTATTTCCTACCAGGAGAATGGCGAGGGATACAAACGTAGTAAACATAATCAATCTACTTCGACGTCCACGTGATCTCGATCTCAATGGGCCGCCCCCCTTGCGAAGCATATACAGTACTCTGTGTACGCCCCTTGGGGGGATTCTCGGCATAGAAAGTAGTGCGATCACTGTAAGCGAGCTTACCATCCTTGGCCTGTACGCAGTGTGAGCACACGAAACGAGATTACGTAAAACTATCCGGGATATACATACGGTGAACTCGCTTGGCGTGTTGACGTGAGGTCCGCAAGCAAGGGCGTCTCGCTCAAAGGCACAGGGCCCCTTGCTAGATTTCAGAGTAAACACATCATCTGCAGGATGCCATTTACTTCATGTTAGCAATCGATAGCAGAGGAGTCATATGCGAAGCGCACAGCTACGAACCTGATTTCTTTTCGGCCCGGAAAGTCGCACAGGTCCCTGACGAAAACCAAGTTCCGTAGCTAATGATGCAGCCATGTTTTCTGCCAAGCCTCGACACAATCAAGTTACCTCGGTCTGTGAATGGAGTGCCTGGCGCTGTGGGCTCGGGGTGATCACCTGTAGTTGTCGGGGCAGGCTCAGGCCGAGCATGCTTCAGTGGGTACTTGACTCCCCTGGAGGGACAATTGGACTTCTGGCCATCTAGACATTTTGTAAGCCTGGGATCTACCTGAATGGGTAGTTTTGAAGTTTGGCCAACCTGGTCCTGCAGAGATAAATTCTCCGAACTGGAGACTTCCTGCGATATTGAAGTAGTACCAAATCTCATTGATGGCGCCGCCTCGGCAACGGATAGTGACAGGGTTTCCATGGGCTTGTGTTAGCGCAGCTTCAATGTCAGCAAGAGCATAGGTACGCGTCTGAGATGGTACGATGCCAGCACTAGCCAAGAACTTATGTATCGTTAGTGGTTTGGTCCGAGTATGTAGTCATTGATCGAGACAATCAAACTAACCTCATAGGTGGGCAATTCCTTATAAACCTCAACAGTTTTGTCAAAGTAGTCGACAACATCCTGTTGCGGCAGGTAATCCTTGTAGCAATGTGGTTCTAGCGTACTAACGCAAGTGCCGTGTTTGTTCCACTCATGTTGCCAAAGATTGCTATCATCACCACGGAAATCTTTCCAATACTCGCTCATGTATTCCAGCAGGTCTCCCCGACCCGCGTCAACTAGAATCAGAGAAATGTTGCTGTACTTGCGTCCGGAGTCGCAGAATTGGTCAAAGCCGCCGTTGCAGTGATCGGGCCTGAAGAGTTATTGTTATATTCATTCAACTTGGGGCCGTGGAACAAACCCACCATAGCCCATGGATAGTCCATGCATCTTCAGGGCCGAGTGCAGGGTCGACATCCCAGAATTGCGTCTGCAGCATTTGGCCACCGGGGTAGTTGAAACAGCAGGTGTCTTGACCGTGGTAGTTGGCCTTGCAACTTATTTCTGAGCCTGGACATGACGATGAAGTCCCGGGGTTTGTATTCTCGTTTGAAGTTTGCGACAGCCAGAGTGAACCGAAGGTCTTGAGGATCTTCTGGGGTCCGGGGACCCCCATGAACTGTTGTGATGATCCCCGCATCATCGATGGCAGCTTTTTGCCGTGATCGGAGGAGGTACACTTATTAAAGTGGCACCGAGAAAGAATATAAGAATATAGAAGTAGACAAGTACTAGAATGGTCGTATTCAAGGGGAGAAGTACATTCAGGAGGCTACAAAGGTCATCGGCCATCGTTGCCTCGTGCGGAGTCATATGACTAAGCGCGGGGGCAGCTGATAAGAGTCACCTGGGCTTGGTTTACTTGCACGTGCTTTGTATTGCTCACTTTTAAAGGGGAAGATGATCATACTGGGCATGTTTCAATTCAAGAGTGAAGGGGTATCATAGTTAGTCCACGGTGGGTAATCTCACCGAGCTTGCGCCTATCATTTCTGGCAGGTGACTCTAGGTCTCCTGCTTGCGCGCCTCCTGTTCATGTACTCTTTCTTTCCATAAACGTAATACTTCAAAGCCAACTTCAACAGCAATGAGCAGAATGATAATCCATTCGAGCCGGAGACCGTGTGTCTCACTAAGGCGCTCCCGGAGTACACTTGCGATCTCTTGCGCATAGTCCATCTTCTCGTTGAGCAGTTTGATACGAATTCCAACATCTAAAGCTCTGCCAGCCTGCTCGTAGTATCCCTCCAGCCCGAGCTCGTGTCGGCTGTCCCAAAAGATATCAGGTAGAGAATCCGTGAGCTCGGAATAGAGATTGAGCTGCGCTCGGACACTTAGTAGTTGCCCTGTCTTGCGGAGGACAAAGTCTCGTGTAAAAGGAAGTCGGGATCCCTGTGATAGAAGAGTTGGAATTGGCCGAGTTGATTCGAAATAGTTTGAAAGAAGGCTCTCGAGAACGGCCAACTTCGTACTCCGAGCAAGACCCGACGAAAATGCGACCTTGGTCAACACCGTGTCGACGGATTGTTGCCCCGCTGGTGATCCTTCTGTATGTCCATGACCAGAGCTGGTCCCTAGTATAATTGTGTCCCCTTTGATCACGCTGTTCTCTCGATTTGGGTCCTCCACGAATTCGAGATCTTCAGTTTCCAAATCGTCCACATGAGCACCTTCTGCTGCGGGTAACAGAGTTCGTGTTGCCAGGAATGATGTGAACCCTTCTGGAAGAGACCACGCTACCACTGTACCGGAGGGGAACACAAATAAATCGCCCACTTCGTCGGATGGTAGACCTGTGCTGGAGGGATTTTTCATGCGCTGTATGGAGTCTAACGGTACCTGAACATGGACAACTTGTGGGAAGAGCCCCGTTTCCAACGGGTCCGGTTCATATCCTCGTTCTTGCAAAATATCTCTGACTTGGCGGATGTTGAATTGCTCGGCGACGGCGTAGGCGGTTACTGTCTAGAGACACCAGAATAATCAGTGGAAGATAATCATTGATTTCAGTTGTGTCTACCTTAGTCCGATATAGCCCCTGCTCTCTGAGGAGCGCCTTGGAGCGAATGCCATCCTTCGATCTCTGTGCCTCGACTGCTACTCGCCGCAATGAAGTGGGAGCTGCTGGTAGCCTAGGCCCTCGTCGACGCTGCTTCTGCGAATCAGGAGAGAACTCAATTGAGTCATCGCTGTTCTGTTTTTGTTTCAGGTAGGCGTTGGATGAGAAGAAATCCTTCCGTCGGGAAACGGCCAATGGAACAGTAACAGACAGGTATTGGGTCTGAGGTCGTGTAGGAGGACGTAATACTGGTCGCTTGCAGCTCAAGCAGACATATGGCCTAGCAAACATTGTGTATCTGAGGAACAAAAACTTAATGCTCGGTCGATGACATCGTTTTGCAGCCACGGCCCGATACCCCGCTTAGTCATGAACCAAGCTCCCGACGGGCCCTGACCTACCCCGGCTCAACTGTAGAACCACCGATTCCAGCTTGTCGCATTCCACTTCAACCAGTTTGGGAGCTGCAGGTGCTGAGAGGGATTCGCCATGGACGCGCTTGGCGCGACATCGCCGGACGAAAGTGCCGTTCAGAGGACTCCCAAGCACGACACATCCACACGAACCAGTTCACCTACAAACACGACTCAAGACGCCCAAGATAGACACCAACGATGCAATGATTCCAGATCTAGTAGCAGTGAGGATGGAGAAGAAGAGGATGAGACCGAGGAAGAGGAAGACTCGGACGACGAGGATGAGGAGCCCCGCCTCAAGTACGCATACCTGACGAAGCACTTGGGATCGGTATATCGCAACGGGGATGCGACAAGCTCGTTCCTCGTAGCAGGAGATAAAATGGTATGTACTCTTAACGGAATATATACTATATAAAGAGCTAATTCTGTGCCTAGATCGTCGGGACACACAACGGGAACGTCGTAAGTTAGCCACACCAGCGCGCAGACATATAAGCTGACCTTGTGAAGCACGTTATGTCATTACCGCTTCTACAATCCCTCCGTGTATATCATGCGCACTCAGCAAGTGTTACCTCAATATCGATATCACCATTTCCGCCTCCGCTTCCGAACCTTAGGCAAGACACATTCAGCAAGCAGACCGCGGAAGAATACAGACCATCTACTCGATCATCTAATGCTACCAGCAGTATCCGTGGCAAAGGAAAACTGAGCGATCACCCAACCGTCCCCCCAATACCGTCGAACTCGATTTACATCGGGACCTCCTCAATCGATGGCCACGTATGCGTCTCGTCGCTGGTAGACCCCAAGGATGTGCTGTTGCGCAATTTTGGTCGCCCCGTACAGTCTGTTGCTTTGTCTCCAGAGTACAAAACTGATCGGTCATACCTGTCTGGTGGCCGAGCAGGTGAACTGGTCTTGACAACTGGCGGTCGTATTGGAGCGACCTCCAACTCTACAACAATGGGCGGTGCGGCCGCCACAGCCTCAAGTTGGCTTGGATCCATGGGCCTGGCATCCAATAGTGGAAAAGATACAATTATTCACAGCGGCGAAGGGGCTATAAGCACAATTAAATGGTCACTCTCTGGGAAATACGTGGTCTGGGTCAACGAAGAAGGCATCAAGATTATGCGGTCAAATCTGCATCTGGATTCTTCAGAGATGGAATTTGCCTGGAAACGAATCAGCCATATTGACCGTCCAAATCGTCCCGGCTGGGAGGAAATGGCCGGTGTTTGGAAGGCACGCGCAGAATGGATCGACCAGTCTGCTTTAGACAGTCGGGATAACCTAGACCCCAATAATAATTCTGCAAGTCCAGAGCTACAGTTGACTGCCTCCGGAGAGAAAGTGGAAAAGCTCGTCGTCGGCTGGGGAGGAACTGTTTGGGTCATTGATGTCTACCCCGAAAGGGCAAGCAAAACATCCAAGGGCGAGAAATTGGGCTCTGCAGAAGTTGTTACAATGTAAGCTGGGACTCTCACGGGTTAAATTGTTCATCGCTAACTTTGAAGACAGATTACGAACAGATTGTGTGGTTTCTGGCATCTCATTGTACACGCCTCGTCTTCTTGTCATTCTCGCATATATGGAGACTGAAGGAGAAAATACAAGCAACGGAAGAGGCAGTGGGACCCGCAATCGACTTAAAGGCCTAGAACCTGAACTTCGTGTCATTGACATAGAAACAAAGGAAGAAATCAGCGCCGATACACTTTCAATTAACCGGTTTGAGGGCCTCTCAGCGTCTGATTATCATTTAAGTGTCTTGCCTCCGTGGAAGACTCCAGAGGGTCAAGTTGTCCAACGTGGTGCTCTGGGAGCTCTTGGGTATGGGCTTTTGGATGCAACTATGTACTCTGCGCGGCTGTTTAGCTCCGGCGCCAGCATTCGCAGCACCACAAGTAGTGGCGACAAGGGGTCTGCTAGAGTCGCTCCATCTTTCATATCCAAGCTCCACGCAGCTGAGGATGCCCTTCCGAGGGAGGTCCAGGAAGTTTCTGGTGCTCCTGGTGCCAAAATCTTTGTGCACAGCCCATATGACTGTGTTGTTGCAGTCAGAAGAGATCTTGCGGACCGACTGTCCTGGCTTGATTCTCATGGCCAGTACGAGGACGCATGGCGTCTCGTCGATGAACATCCCGAAGCTGCGGGCTCGATATCCGACGTAACCGAAGCTATTTCCGAGGCTGCAGGAAGGTCCCAGACCAGTCTAGGTGAATTTTTTGCTGATGATCGATCGTCTATCATGACAGCTGGTCGAGCAAAAGTTTCTGCTGCTGAACAAGAAAAGGCTCGCCTCGGGGAACTCTGGATCAACCAACTTGTCAGCGAAGATAAGTGGATTGACGCTGCGAACATTTGTGGCAAAGTCATCCGCAATGCCCCACGATGGGAACACTGGGCATGGACCTTTATCAAAAATGATAAAATCGACGAGATCACTTCCCACATTCCAATCGATATAAATCCGCCGTTGTCTGCTCGGATCTACGAAATCATTCTCACTCACTATGTGTCACGAGACTTGGTCAAATTCAAAGAACTCATTGAAACATGGCCATCCGATTTGTTTGATGCGAGTGTGGTCACAGAAGCCATCGAAGCACAGGTGAAATCCGATTCAGTGCGTGCCGGGTCTGAGGAATGGCGAATCCTCACAGATTGCCTTGCCAAGTTATTCCTGGTAGGAGGGCACTACCGCGAAGCCTTGCGTTGCTATATTCGACTGCAAGATGGAGATGCCGCTATGGCTTTGGTTCGGGTACACCGCTTGCTCGATGCAGTTACTGATGATATACCGGCCTTTATCATGATTCGCGTTTCCAAAGAGCAAATGAAGTCAGCTCCGAAATCCGAACTGGAGGAATTGACATCCGAGCCCACGCGACTCCTTGTGAGCGAAGCATACACGGGTATTGTTCCCCCAGAAACCGTGGTATCACAGTTGATCGCCGCAAACAGGTTCCTGTTTCTGTATTTCTATCTCCGTGCGCTCTGGCGAGGCGAGTCGTTACCGCACGACGCCTCTAAGCCCAGAAGAGGACGTGGAATCCATGCTCGGGATGCAGCCAGCAAGCTTGCTGCCGATGAAGGCAAAGCCCTGATTGACAATTTTGCCGATACAGCCGTTGAGGTATTTGCCGATTACGACCGGCCTCTACTGATGGAGTTCCTCCAAACAAGTATATCTTATTCATTTGAGAAAGCCACATCCATCTGCGAAGACCACAAATTTACACCAGAGTTGATTTTCCTCTTGTCTAAGATGGGCCAGACAAAGCGAGCCTTGAACCTAATTCTATCAGATCTCAAGGATGTTTCGCAGGCCATTTCATTTGCAAAATCACAGGATGATCCTGATCTGTGGGAAGATCTGCTCGATTACTCTATGGACAAGCCAAAGTTCATTCACGGTCTTCTTGTTGAGGCCGGAACGGCCATCGACCCAATAAAGCTTGTGCGTCGGATCCCGAGCGGGCTGGAGATTGAAGGTCTGCGAGAGGGCCTCACTCGCTTGATCCGTGAGCACGATCTGCAAGCTAGTATCAGCCAAGGCGCGGCTAGAGTCATGCAAAGTGAAGTTGCACTTGGGATGGACTCGCTGCGCAAAGGTCAGCGCCGGGGAATCAAGTTCGATATCATCGAGGACAAAGACGGAGATTTCAACAAGACACCGACAACGAAGACCCAGGCTCAAGATCAATTATCTGTGCCCAATGGTGCGAGAAAATTCGGAGGCCCTGGACATGGAAGATGCGGCGGTTGCAACGCCGCCTTCCGGGAAAACGGTATGATTTTAGCCCACCTCCATTCCATGTATCATCTTCGTAAAAAAAAATACTAATATAACCCTGCTGCAGAGCGAGAAATCCTTGTTGCCTTTGCTTGTGGCCATATTTTCCATCTATCCCACCTGCACTCCGACACGTCACAGCAACAATCCGGCGCGAACAGCCGTGACCGATCTGCAGATCTCACACCTCGAGCCATGTCTCCAGTCGACGAAACCCGATCCGCTACTGCGTCTCGCACCATAGGCCCCAAAGTCACGACGGCAAGAATCCTGCGAGACAAGATTGGGGATGGGTGTCGTCTTTGTGCCCTGACAAGAGATATTGAATCTCTTGGTGGTGAGGTGGAGGTTTGAACTCTGTTGGGGTCAGGATACATCTGTACCCATTCACATCTGTGCTGTGTGTATACTCCATGTGCACATACCTATGCATTCTCCTTGTTTCTCTGAGATACCCTGGCTTTTAGCCAAGCTTTTGCACTCATTTGTTGGGGACATTAGCATTCATCCATTCTGCGAGGTTATCACACTGGCCAATATTCATTTGATAAAGTAGTGTGTTATGTTCACTGCTTTGGCTGCTCACTACATACGTATCACGCTCTGTTTATGTGTAATAGTTGTTTCACAGCCAAAATATAACTACCCGAGTGCACCGTTCGGTGAGCTCTTTTGTCTCTTCGTGAATCAAATGTAACCAATAGTGAACATCTCTGATATTAGAAAAGCTATGCTTCAACTAGAATATGAGTCACTAATAGAATTGGCAAAATTAAGGGGAGCCAGTTGCATCCCATAACAAACAATTGGCCACCCGTCAAACCCATGGGTTTCTCAAATTCCATCGCGAACACAATCATCGCATCAGGTACCATCCTTGCTACACCACAAGATGGCTAGACTTGCCTAACACGGTAAGAAGTGTGTGGCGTTCTCACATAATCAAGTGAAATGTGTGAGAGAGCATAATAAAAATGCTCATGGTAAAGAGACCACTGTCCATGATTCCAGCGGGATCAGCGCCGTTGAAAACAGGAGAAGGGGCGTGAGTGCCACTGGAAGAAGTACCCTGAGGAGACGGCAATGCAGTGTCCTTCTGGGTGTGAGTAGGCTGTTGGGGAGGCACAATGGAAACCTCGGACTCGGTTGTTGCACTCTGCTGAGCAGAAGGAGCAGGAACCTTGGCTAAAGTGGTAGCCTCGACAGTAGTGGCGTGTGGAAGTGGGACCAACTCAGTCGGCTTGATCTCGGTAGTCACCTCGTGAGTGGGAGCCTGCGGAGCAGGAGCAGGAGCAGTGGACTGGATCACAGTAGTGACAACCTTGGTAGTCTCCTGTGGAATGGCACCAGGAACAGTTGGCTGGATGACGGTGGTCACAAGCTCAGTGGTCGTGTACGGAACAGGAACAGGAGCAGTAGGCTGAATAACAGTGGTTACAGTCCTGGTGGTCTCCTGTGGAATGGCACCGGGAACAGTTGGCTGGATAACCGTGGTCACGACTTCCGTGGTGGTCTGTGGAGCAGGAACTATAACCGGGATTGGAGTCACCGAAATGGTGGTAGTCTCCGTAGGGGTAGCGGTGTACACCTTGGTACTGACGCATTTGGTGGTCTCGGTGCAAGGGATGTCAACCGTGACAGTTATCAGCTCAGTCGCAACGGGCACAGCAGCAGGAACAGTTGGTTGAACCTCGGTGGTCGTAGTGGCCTGTGGAACGACGCCCGAAACAGTGGTCTGCGAGACTGGCAAGGTGCTGGTGGTAAGAACCTTGGTGCTGACACACCTAGTCGTCTCGGTGCAGGAAATCTCAACAGTGATAGTGATTTCAGTGGTCACCGGAGCAGGGGCCAGCTCAGTTGAGTTGGAACGAGAAGATGCGGTGTAACCAGTGCTCAAATTAGGCACAGGACTAGGAGCCTGGGGGGCAGTTGAGTTTGTGTAAGCGATTCCAGTAGTACCAGGGACAGGAACCACCTTGGTAGGACGAGAAGTTGTAATTGACTCAGTAGTTATTCCAGAAGCAGAAGAAGCTTCGGAAGAGGAAGGGCAAGGTGAAGAGATCGTCTCGGTGGTCACCTCGGTAACAGTGCCAGGCATCGTAGAGGTGGTGTGGTTCACAACAGTGGTGACAGGAACAGGTGCCACGCTTGTAGCATTGGGACGAGATGAAGTTACCGACTCGGTGGCAGTGGCAGTAACCGTGGGGGAAGCAGTGTTGGTTGCAGTAGCGCTTCCAGTGGGCACCTCAGTAGGAATAGGCACCGGCGTTCCAGTGGTTCCGGGTATAGAGGACTGCGAGGTCGCCAAAGTGGTGCCAGACGCAGAAGTCTTGGTTGTACTGGGTGCAGACGACTTGGTGGTCACTTCAGTGGTTCCAGGAGCAGAACTATGAGAGCCGGCAGGTGCAGATGGTGGGGTGGTCACCTGGGAGGCGCTTGGCACCGAAGTCTGAGTAGCAACAGGTACCGAAGTCAAGGAGGTAGTAGGCTCAGGGTCAGTGACCTGAGCCGGGACTGGAGTGGTAGAATGACCAGTGGTGCAAGGAACATCCGTGGTGACAGTTGTGGTCGGTTCATCAGGACCGCAGGTAGTATGGGTAACCGTGACAGTGACTATTACCAAGTTAGTTTTTGATATAAAAGAGCTGAGAGAATTAAGAAATCTCCGTATGGAGGATGAGGAGCTTGGACTTACTCAGTTCAGCAGCATGAACAGCACGACCAAACAAGGCCCGAGGCAAAACATCGACTGCGAAAATTGATCAGTAACGGCAGATATGAAGGTAGCCTTGGACAGTGAGTTTGACTTACTTTCACCAAACTGGTACTGCTCCCCAGTGTGGGGGTCCTGAAGAAAGACGGACTCGATGTTGTGGCATTCTGTTCAACACGGTCAGTAAATGCTCATAATGCAGCCACTGATGGGCCATGGTACATACCAGCCGCAGCAGCAGCCATGGTCACCAGAGTGGTGACCATGACCAGAAGCAACTTGAAACGCGTCCAAGCTGCCATCTTGTCGAAGATGGAAATTGATAAACGAATGTGAAGTGATGACTTGATGGAGTAACCAGGCAATCAATGAAAACGAGGGTCAAAGTAGGAAAAGAGAAACGAATGTGAAGTGGGAGAAGAGAAAAAAGGAAGCGAAGAAGAAAGGGACGTCGGAGGAAGAAATAGTAAACAGAGCCAGCACCTGGGGACCTGTTGAGGAAGGAACGCTGATTGCCCATGACAACACGTGCCGGTTTCTAATTCTGCTCTTTCCATCTTTGAGGCAAACGTACAAGGAAGTCACGACGGAGGCTCCCAACTATGGGAAGGTACTTGCCAGTGGGGATATAATTTGACTGTATGACTCTAATAGAACCTTATACCTGGTGCAGCAGCAACCGTAGGGGTGCAACCTCAGTGAGACAGTCTAAATCTAGTTCTTCGACTGAAATGAATGCAAAAACAGACCCTTTGCCTAACCTCGGGGGGTTTTCGTTCGGTAGAATCATGCCGTAGGCTGCAATGAAGGACCCCACGTCTGGCTTAAGCACAGAAAACAGCCCCAAACCAGCCCCTCTAGAGCCCTGGAAACAGAAATATTCCTATAAGGGGACTGGGTGTCACAGACAATGGTCCATGTGCCACATTAACAAGACCACAAAGACAGACATACTTCTGTTTTCTATTACAGTCAGGCCATATAGATCTTAGACTAAGTTCGAATATAAGACAAACCAGCAAAAATTGCAAGGATGTTAACTTTTATCATCTTTGAAGCAATCATCATTGGCATGGCATCCTAAATTTAGGTCAGACAGTGAGAAAGTCAAGTGCAGAAGTGAAATCTCACTTGAGCCTTGAGCTTGTTGATTGCCAGCAAGTGTAGAAAAGGGTTCTATTTTGTATTCAGCATCAGTCCTACAATAGTACGCAACAGTACGGGAGATAAGTTATGTTATACTGTCAGGTCAGGGGCAATGGTGACACAACTTAGGGCAAGAATTTCTCAGGTGAAATTAGAGTATGATCACAACAACAAGCAACCGTGGATATTATCTGAACCTTATAAGTATGATATTGAGTGGACTCCAGATTAGATTCATTTTAATCTAATGCAGTCGTAAGGCTTGGAAGTCCACGTAAACATACCCAGTGCAACGTCTATATATTATAGACACAACGTACGTTCCTATACCGGTGCCCAGCCAGATCCAAATACTCACTAGAGAAAGCGACAAACGTCGGTCAGAGTCCCTGGTTGGTATATATTTATCCCGAAAAGAATAGTCCAGTCAAGCGCAATGGAGTAAAAAAAAACAATATGTGAACGCTAGATGCCACCGCGGCTACTAACCGAAAAATACTAGTGTTCTTTATTTATCGACGTATTTCTAGGTATTTTTGATACCTGAAGAAGCGGTCACGTAGCGGGACGACCCGAAGTGGAAATCATTTATGTATTTGCGCCGCGCTTCTAAGGAACGGGCGTGTTCTGACGTCATATTGCTTATATTAATGCCGAGATAATTGCGGCTAGAAGTGGTTCATACAATTGGATACGTCTATATTTTCGATACGCGCTAATATGATGGACGAAGGCAAGAGCACTTATATTCTAGAAAGAGATATGGGCTGGATCATGGTAAACCAGGGGTATCTATGGTAGACATGAAGAAAATCATCAACAGATATTAATTTAACAAGCAGTATTGTGCAATATATATGGCAAGTGGGTATCTGCTATTGTACCCCGTAGTTTCAAGGTCTTTGATACAGCCAAATATCGACGATATCTCTTTCAGCGGAAGTAATGTCCAACATCGGCGGCTATCTACAGCTCTTTTTATGACAAGGGTTGGATAATCATATCATGTATGGCCCAGCATATGGCTTGAGAGACTCTTCAATCAGTATTTAAAAGCATTAATTTGCTACGATAAGCCATAGTCTTCATGAACATCTCATCCTCACCCACTAGGTGAAAAAGACATCCATCGAAAAGCTATCAACTGGGAGGCTGGCAGATCAAAGTCTCTGTCTGAAATCGGAAGCGGTAATATGTGACCAATGAACAGAAGAATTGCGAGAGTAAACCTTATTTGGTACCCCATACGGAGTACTCCGTACATACATATGTGTTAGGAGTACGACGGAATTTTCAATCCAATGTTCGGCAATCTCGTTGTAAACTCGGAGATTACATTTCCCTTACCAGACAGAATACCTGTTACACATAACAGAACAGTTGGGGCAGTACCTTGTAAATCCGAAATCTGTACTAGGGTTCAAATGCTTATAAGAACTTGGGTCGGACATCTCTACTCGATATAGACATAATGTAACTCATTGCCTAAGGAAATGGACGACGATCAAACACGAAAACGAAAAGGAAGGTTCCTTTTCTTATCACCCGCGCTGGTGTTCGAGGCCTGGCCATCGAAATGAATACGAGTACGAAGCACTCCATACCTCTCGTGATCTGGAAGCTCACACTGGGACATGAGAAGTTGATGCATCTGCCGTGTAACCGATAGTAAGCGTCGCAAAGCATATTTTACAAAATGAGGCGAAAAAGAATGAAAATAAAATACTCGAGTCATGTACGGAGTACGGAGTACCATACAACATACATACGACCCAGAAGTCGGTGTATGCTCGATCTGGAAATTTGATGAGGAAAGATTCTCGATAAGGCCTAACACCGAAATTACGGCCCAAGGGAAGACTCCCGATCGCTCCCGACCCGAAAGCCACCTTGGGTCTTGGTGGGTTGACAAGGGGGCGAAATGAGCTTGTCCAATCAGAGATAGTAGATAAACCCGAAGCAATGGTCCATGGGATTTTGGATGCCCATCTAGGTAATGAGTTCGTGATAGCCCGTGCTTTACCAGGTTCCTGGGAACCGGGGTTTCCAATCTTGGAAGACTATGATGACGCTCTGGGCAGCTTCGGTCGGTTCCAAGGTTGGTTTGTGGAGTTTTTGTGGCTGCGAACGCCACAGTCCGCTCCGCTTCATGGTTGACATGTGTGGGCACTGAGGCGTTTGTTTTTTGCTGACTTGCGCGCCAGCCCCGATTGGGGAATTTGAACGTCAATCATCTTCGGTTAACACGGGGACCTTCAGTGCCAAGAGCTTATAACTCAAGCATGATTTTTTACAGACTCTTATAAGGCGCTGAGGGTGATGGCTGTCGATGGCTGTACTAGTCTGGTTGATAGGTTAACAGGTTGGCTTTGTTCTCAAGATAGGATAAACTACGACATCTACATGCGAGGTCATAATTGAGGTAGCAATGTCATCGTATTCTGCACCTGCGTCAAAGCGGTTGACTTGTAGTCCCGTCCCCAGATAACTATCTATATCAAACGATCTCAAACCCGTGCATATGCACACATGCATAAGAAGTGGATAGGGATCGCAGAGAAAGCCGAACGTTCAAGGCTGTGAAGACCAGCAACCAACAAAAAAAAAAGAAAAAGAAAAAGAAAAAAAGGGTTGATGTCAGATGGAAACGAGCTGGAAATAAAAACAATGGAACAGGGTATCAACGTCGTATACTTGGCCCTCGATTATATCGGAATAATAACCATAACAAACAAAGATATCAAGAGTTCCATGGCCCACCGACTCATATATTGTCGTAGTGGTTAAGCAACGCTGAATTAAACAAAAATATGTCAGGGGAAAAAAAGCAAAAAAAAAAGAAAACATAGTATACTAGGGTATCGTTGCTCGGAGACTCGTTTATTATCCCCGTGTTCAACGCCCCGTATAGAAAAGTGAATGCCAGCCCATTGAGAAAGGATGTATGAGAGCATGAAATGAAAAGACGAGTGCAATTGATGCACTAGAGATGAAAAGTTCGCGTGCATTGCTGCAGACCAGATTGGAGAGACCAGTGTCTGGCGAGGTGAAATGAGGCGAGATGAAGGGAAATTTCACTTTTGCATTAAGTTCGAGTTGGTGAGGCGGGAGTATGGCTTTTGAGTTGTATGCAATGCAGGTTTAATAGGTTAATTTGATCTCAATGGCAGATCCTGGTGTGTTAGGAGCACTGCCATTGGGACCTGGTGCTTCGATGTCGACGATCATGTCTTGACCTTCTGGAAGATGGCGGACCAGATCGTCATCAACGAGGACTCGCATACCTTTCTGATTGGCATGCGTGATATTTGAAATTCGGATCGGATCGATGTGGAATTTCTCGCTAATTTGTTTCGCGAAGTCTCGAGCGGTGCGTTCCGTCAAATAAATTGCACGGTAATAATCTTCTGAGCGCTTCGCATTTCCAGCGAATCGAACATAAAAGCATGCAACTGCGAGGAGGATTAGCAAAAATATCAACTATAGGGTTACGCTCAAGAAACTCACTCGGTTTGGGAAGGCGTTCCGCCGGAGGCCGGTAGGTCGAGTCTATACCCACGGCCTCTATAAAGCCCCTTGAGACTTGGTCACCAGTAGGAATTCTCTGGATGGTGGTTGGGCACTTGCTTAATCGGAGTGCATGAATAGGCGGCGAATTCGAAGAAGAGGTATTGGTGTTGGGGGGCGAGGGAATCATAGTCTCCAATTCACGTGTGCTTGAACGGCTTATACCCCCATAATGAGGGGAATCGCCATCACCCAATAAGTGAATAGGATATAGGTCGGGATCATCGAATTTTTCACCGCGTAAGCCGAAAACGCTCACTGTGCGAGTAGATGAAAACATCTCTTGCATCGTAGCCAACTTGGCTTGAAGATCATCTTCCAAGGAGACTCTCTCTGGGGGGCATCGTCCGAGTCCATCGACCAAGTTCGCTTGTGACTCGGCTTCATAGTGTCGGATCCTTTGGTGGTAGAAGAAAGATTGTTTCCACGTTTGCGCTTCGCAAACCCACCACCCAGTTCAGCTTGGGAGACCTGCTGCTTAAGCTTATCGATGGTCTTTTTGACATGCGCGATGTCATTGGACAGCTTCCGCTCAGCACCATGATCCCGGAAAAGCTTTACTTTGCAGTAAGACAGCTCCACATCGCGCGATACACCTGCATCCTCGCCCGGGGATAAGAGCTCGGTTTTGGCGCACAATCTGACGGGAATTCCCTTCACCCCTTTGGAGTGACTGAAATCTGTAGAAAGGAAATTGAATCGCAGGGGGATATTACAATCCGATGCGCCGGTCGCTGGATTGGCAGTCCAAGTGACGCAGAAACCGTCAACTGTCATACTCTCGACTTGTACCTGTCGATGCCTGTGGGCATCACCGCCTCCTTGTAAAGGATCCACGTATTCAACAGCTAATAATTTTCCGCCCCGTTGATGGGCTTCTGTGGTGCCACGACCTTCCTTCCATAGTTGCCAACATGTTGATGGTTTCGCTCGTTGTTCTTGTTCTTCAAAGGAAACACGGACAAATGTTCTATAACGAAGCGGTTCGTGGTTGATCATTGGGGGGCTCGTGTCGGTAACTGAGAGATTGTATGCTTGGCCCTTATTGAGATAGGTCACGGGAATTTCACTCAGGTGCTTCACCATGGCGGTCGGTGCTCGTAGAGAAACATGGAAGCGGAATCTGGAAGGTAGAACGGGGTTAGCATTAAACAGAGATAAACTCTGTGTCTCATCGATCAACTCACTTTTCGCCCTTGGCATATGACATGTCACCAGCCGTTTGAGCCGATAATTCTGTAGAAGCCGTCACGTTGGATGCTGTTTCGACATGTGCACCATTCAAGGAAGAGTCATCGAGTGTATCATCCATGGCGTCGTATCCGGGGTCACGGTGCATGAATGCGCTGGGCGCATATGATGGCTGCTGTGTATATTGGTTCATATCATGCAGTGAATTCATGAACTGCGGGTGGAAGGGCTCGAATCCGCTGCTGTGATAATTGTGTATAGCTGACATCCCCGAGAGTGGATTGATCAAGTGCATCCCTGTTGGAGTATGCAAGTCGCCGGCCTGATTATGAAACATTGCACCCATCCCGCCAGATGTTGGGGTATAAAAGCCTGGGTGATGGTTGGCGGAAGGCATCATGGAATATGAAGCGGATTCCATCCACGAGGGTGTCAACCCCAATTCATGCATATTTCGGGGAGTGCGTTCATTGTTGGTGATGGGGAACTTGATATCATGACTCTCCATTTTCACATCGCTGTTCTCGGTCATTCTACGAGAATTGCGTTGTTAGTTCTAAACTCACCCGTTTCACTTTCAGAAGAGAAAGTATATGGTGTAAATACCTTGAGGCCATCACAGTTTCTGCTGCTCTCACATTGTGCGAGTCTGTATTTGACAAACTCGGGCTGTCTCGCCGAGGGACAATGTCTGAAAATGCTTGCTGGAAGCGACTGATGAATTCACCATCAGGCTTCTGAGTGTTTTTCCTGTTGCGCAGAGAGATACAGTAAGAAATGAAGCCATTAAACTTATGACCATTTGAGCGTGGCAACTCACCGGCTGTTAAACATTGGGATCTCTTTCTTCGCTTGGCCCGGGGCAGTGAAGGAAAGAAACTAAGGTGCAGCCACCAGCAAGTTGTGACCTGCTGCTGGTAGGCTTGGTGTCTTCTGTTGAGTCTTGTAGATTCAATATGTGGGTTATCGATGTTGGGGAGCTTTCGAATGTCGTAGTACGCAGCGTTCGATACTTTTTGAGGTTGCGTGTAGCCTTGCGTCAAATGTAATATTTGATCTAAGAGAAATTTCCTCTTGAAGGAATGTGTAAATGACTAGAGCAGAGTGGAAATCGAGTGTGCTGATCAAAAATGGAAGATCGTGGAACTAGATCAGAATGGTCAAGGTAAATAAAGCTGAGTGATCCAGGACTTTTTTTTTTTTTTTCCAAAAAAATAGTACCGGAGTATGTTCCCCCCTCAGTTCTTATAGGAGATTGGAGGAAATGATGTATGACTGGAGAGACGAGGGGTGAAGGAGGGGAGATGACGATTGTGCTTCAAGGGAGGGGATAATGGAGAATGAAAAAGGATGGGTTAAGGATGGTACGGTCAATGAGGCCCTCCAATGAACGATCCATAAGAGATCCCACAAAATCTGTCATCCACAGAGCCACAGTGGACCATGAAAAGGGGGGCATTGGTTGTGCTCGGAAGATTTTAAGAGTGACCTCGGGAGAAGGCAAGCTATCGCCACCTAGAAACTGATAACAGGGGGGCCACCTTCGGCAACAGGCGGTTTTTTTCTTTTTCTTTTTTCTTTTTCTCTTTTTCTCTTTTTGAAAAATGAAAATTTCCTTATTTGGCAGTAATATATTTTACTAGGGATAATATGATTGGCTATTCTCGAACCAAATTATGGAAAAAAACCATGGAAATGGCAAATACCGAGCCACAGGTAGCCCTGCAGGGTGGGGGAAGACCAAGCGAAAGCGAAGTGTAAACGTACGTACGTGGTATTATATATTTCGTGATGGCTTCTATGTTACGCCTATAAAATCCATAATAGATGTATAATGCTTAGTATTTAATTAATACAGACCTGCTCCGATTCTTATTTAGTCCAGGAACATCTCTGTGGCACTGTATCCATCTGCCACTACGTGATCAATGCTTCCCCAGTTTCTAGCATCTAATGATAACTCCTATCCGTTCTAGGCATTTGTACAAGGCATCCGTGGAATAGGTGTACCATATACAACGTAGATTTTGTAAGAAGACTCTTATACCACGTACCGAATCAGAAGAACCAGGGAAAACATTTCCCATTCTTATTAGGTAATGTAATTTGCTCGCCTACCTAGGCAGGTGGAATGATAATTCTGGGTCCTGGTTGGGTGTCGCCGTAGGACATCTGCTAATTTAGGGTTATATCTCTATCATGTTAATATATGGATGCTGCAACAACACCTGTGGTCTTGGCCCAATAGTATAATCATCATTCATTGCTCAGGACCTTGAATACATCAATCATGTATCCAAAGTCTGAACCTTATACTCCGATATACATTGCACAACATACAAAATATTCCAGCCACAAAGAAGGAGTGTGGAACTGCGAATCTCTGATAGCCAGGCGTGATAGGTGGCCGGGCCGACCGGATCTGCATCCAAACTGATATTGTACAATCATTGTTCGGTTGATCATAAGTTTTTTCATTAGATTCTATTGGCTGGGCTGGGTTCTATCGATTACATGAGTTGAATGCCTACTAAACATTCAAATTCATCTTGGTGACCTCATCTTCGGTTTCTCCCGGCTCAAGATGAAAGTTGTGGATGTTCATTGACATCTAAATAATGGTTCCCCTCTTTAGTGCGCCAAAACTGCAGCCACCAGTATCTATCACTTTAGACATATATTCGTATGTAGAGCTCTATCCATATATTTACCAACATGGTTCATCATGGCCATAGCTCTGTATACTGGGGGAATGTAAGGCATTATGCACCAACGATACAGTAAATAAATTACAGCCACATACCATGTCAAAACAGTCCCGTTCAACCCAGCTCATTGCTGGAAAGACCACCCACCAATCATATTGCTCAATTGACCCCTAGATGATCGGCAGAGCACGTTTTGTAAACGTATTTAACTCATGGGTATGTACATACCTTGTATTTCGTACCTTGCAATTTTAAGTTATGAAGCTAAAGCACGGAGTCCGTCAAGCCATTTCCAACCTTGCAAATGAGAGCGTAAATTACTAGTCTACCGTTGTGTACGGAGTATGAAGCTAACCCCGGGCTTTCAACACCATCCAGATACTCCGTATGGATGTACCTAAACACGCCAAGTTATAAGTGCGAATAACCGAACGCCTTCTCCACCTACATCACCCTTAAGGGTCCAATGAAAGTTCACGCAACGGCTTTTCCTCCGCGAGATTACTGTGTTGTTTGATATAATGAAAGCCACATCGTCATCAGGGGAAAGCCTCGGTGTTGTAACAGGGGGAAGAGTGGACTACTTTGCAGATACTGGCAGCTTCGTTGAAAAGGCCACATCTACAATTGAGGAAGAAATAAAAAAAAGCAAACATAAACAGAAACGAAAATAGAAAAAAAAAAGAGGGTGCAGAACGTATTATTCGAGGCATCATTTCATTGGAATCAATAAATTAATCGGAAACGGTAGCTATACAAAATAGTTACAGCCGATTATTGGCCGATCTGGATTTGATACTCCGTTGAAGGATCGAGAAAGGAGCTACTGAGCTACAATAAGTACAACGTACGGAGCATGTTGTACAATTCAACATAAAGTTCGTCGGGCTACAGTGTTAGTCGGTTACATCATCTGCACAGGGGTATAATGATGATCGAGATTCTCCCCAAAAAAAGAAATACCTTGTACAACATACGGAGCTGCCCAAGTGCCGAGTGATAGGCACGAAGGGTGTAAGCGGCTGAATTATCCACCCTAGATGAAACCACAACTTAGCGCCAGACTAAAAGAACAAAAAAGACCCCCAAAAAGAAAGTCAAAGATATACATCGGAGATCGGCAATAGGTGAGAGGGGCCCGATCTACACTGGGCTTACGGTGATGCCTACTTTATAGCCAGTCAGGCTAACAAACGGCCTTGCCACCTTTATTTCAGGCACCCACAGCTCCTTGAGTCATGAAATGCCACGGGACAGCTTACGCAACTACAGCCTCGCGTTACAAGCATTTGCCGCATTCCCAGTGGTGGGTTCCCACCTGCTCAGTTTAAGCATGAATGAGATGTAGTACGGAGTACATGTAGTATCTTTGTGCATATCACTCAATATTGACGTGCCAAACTCTTTCTAAGAAACCTCAAAAGCTCATTGGCTGCTCAATCTGATAGATATGGGCACACCTATGTTCACTCATCATACTTGAAAAATGCTATACTACTAGCAGAGTATTTTCCAATGTCCACATCATTGGCTCTGGCTATATTGTATATTGTTCACGGGTACTCCGTATACATATGTACAACAAGCTGGGAACTCAGATGTACCTATCAGATTTCCCGGGGCCCCGGGCCGACCCCGGCAAGGTTCCGATGTAATGAGCTCTATCCCGAGAGATGATTCCACTCCACAATAACGGGAAGACGATCTCTGCTGATTGGCTGGCTGAAATTTCCGTCTTGGCTATATATTCGATGTGGGTGAGCTCAAGAGGTTGGTTCTAAATTCCTTTTTTGCCATCTCTGATTCTTCCCCACAATAACGGGAGACGATCCTGGTGTGGATTGGTTGGTTGACGTTTCCGTCTGAATCAGTGGACAATGACATCATCAGTTACAAAAAGTACCAGCGTACTTATGTCGGGTGTGGCCTATATTATTGGTCATGGGTGATTTTTCCGTAGACCTATTACTCTATCTACACGCTACATATATCAATAATATCAACGGCATATAGACTCCGCAAGTACACAAGTAGATATATGCCACGAATACAAATTGTGAGGGGTCATTTTTGCTATCTGGAGACAGCTATGACATCATGAAAAACGCTCTGATGTAATGGTGGAATCGAGTGACGCTGGTCATGTAATCTCTTGGCTTCCAGACTTCTCTCTCTCCCACGTAGTTTAGCCAGAGCCTCATATTCGTCATGGTAGACTTTTTAGAGCTCTCTACTCTCCGTTATCTGACCTTTCCTCGGCAGCTACTCTTATTACAATGTTGTTCGATTCTTGCAAGCCTCACATACGGGTGCTAATTTACTATTTGGCCATTCTTGAACACTGACGGTTTCATGATATTACTCTTTATGAATTATCCAACCAATATGAATGACAACCCCCTTTACAAGATGATCCAGTAGTGCTGTGTGACCATCAGTTTACTCAATGATTACCAAGAAGGGTAGTCCCCTGGAACCTGTATCGACCGCGTCTAAGGTCGAAGAAAATATCTCCATGCATACATGCAACCCTAACACGCCCATAACGCCGATGTGTGAAAAACAAATGAAAACATATAAACACAGGCAAAATCCAACAGAACCTCGTGTATGTGGTGGCCGATGGCCGGTTCTGGACCGTGGAATCGCCTGTTCCCAGATGAGGGATGAAAAGAGGGTAAAAAAATGCAGGAATATGCAGCAAGACTTGTTGGGCGTTCAAAGATGAAAGAGAGTGCCCTGCAGTCTGGGGTAGCTCGCCATGCTATACGATGGCAAACCTGGGATTTGGCTAGCTTCGAGACATGGGAGATGAGGGTGGAGAGCCCCGAGAGCCGGAGGAGAAGAAATTCGTGTAAGACAGCGAGTTGTAATCAATGCTGAATGATCAATGAGAATCCATCAACCCATGATGCACAGGAGCCAGAAATTCCAGCGATCTTGTAGCCCAAAGGAGGTATCAAAGTGTGGCTGTTTGGAGGTTGGTTAGCATGCTGCGAATATCGTGAATGAAGAGAATACATACCCCGAGCCTCCGGTGGGATTTCCATAGATACCGGATTTTCTCCCAAGGCTTGTGAGAATCTCGATTCCATCAATCCAGAGACCAGCTC